CCCCACACACAGCACAGGCCCGCACCTGGTACAGCCCCGCACCCAGCCCCAAACCCAGCACAGCCCCTCCTCTCCCAGCACAGCCCCACACCCAGCACAGCCTCGCTGGCTCGGGGGCAGCTGTGAAGCTGTGGGGGCTGTGGAGCTCCGGAGCTGTGGGGCTGTGCAGCCCCTGGACACAGGGCTTAGCCCCCCGTGCGCTAATGCGGTGCTTTCCACGGCTGGCTCGGAGCTCAGAGCTACATGCCAGCTCGGCAGGGGCTTTGGCACTTGGCAGGGGAGGGGACGGTGCTGGGCCAGAGCCGATGCGGTGCCAGTGCCAGCCTGGCCCTGCAGATGCTGCTCCACTTCCCACCCGGGCCCAGGGCGAGCGGGGCGGGGCAGGGGACACGGCCCTGGCAGGGAGGCCCAGGAGTTCTGTCCTGCACCGTCCCTGCCCTGAGTCCCTGCCGGAAGCTCAGGGAGGTTTCCTACTCCCCTTGTCCGTTCTTTCCTTGAGAACTAAGTACGGGGAACTTTGGCAGCAAAGGAGCAGCTGAGCAGCCCGGAACAGTCCTTGTGCTGCGAGGCTGTGACTTATTTGCACAGAGCTACGTGATTGTGGAATCGGTGACACACGGAGAGAGCCAACGTCACCAGGCCCTGGTGATGGCAGATTCTGTCTAACCCTGGACCAAGAAAACCCAAACCAGCCCTGACAGTGTTTTCATCAACAGGAGCATAGGATGCTCTTTGCATCACCTCCACTTCAGCCTGGTCACCACAAGCCATGGTCAGGGGGCACTGGCACAGCTGCCCTGTACCAAACAGGGACCATGATACAGCCTGGCAGCAGCCAAATCACCTTGCTGCCCAGATGGCTCTGGCATGGGGATGCTGAGCCACACAGCACCTCATCCCTGGCTCGAGGAAAGGGGTGTTTTTGTTCATCACGTTGCATGAAAACCTGTGAAACACAGACGGAAGGCACAGGAGGCAGTGTGACACGTGTGGTTAGCATGTCACAGGGGAGGCACAGGGCTGGGAAAAGCCTAGGAAAAGGTCAGTGCAGACAGGCTGGTGCACACACTCCCCTGCACTGGGAGCTCCACACCCGAGCAGCAGATGTGCAGCCCCAGCAAGGCAGGGGTGCTGCGGGGACCACACGTGCCCAGCCATCCCCTGGCACCACAGGCGTGCGCACCCGGCCCCAGAGCTGGGGCAGATCAACGAGGACATGGGGACGCAGGACAAAGCAGGAGGCGGTGGTGGAGCACGGGGGATGGAGCAGAGCAGACATCCCATCTCCCCCATGTCCGGCTTCTCCTGCCCCAGTCCCTGCCTGGCACAGCAAGGTGCATGGAGATGCTGTGCTCAGTGGCTGGTTTTAGCCCTGTGCTGCTGATCAGGGTTTGCGGTCACATTTTTTCATTAACTATTTTTAATCCACATTTTGCCTATTCTCTGTTCAGCCTTTTCTCTTTTCCCCTCTCTAGGCAACAGAACATAAAAAAAAAAGAAATGCACCGCAGTGTGCGGAAAGGAGCAGGATTGGTGGGAAGCCACAGGAGCTGGCAGCTGGGGCAGCACTAACACGCTGACGAGGGGTCCTGCAGGCCCTAAATTTTCCTGCTGATGCACAGACAAAATCACAGGGGCAGTCACTGAATTTGGTGTGGGTCAGGACACCGCGGCAGGCGCCGCACGGGCAGGGGTCTCAGCAGAGCTGATGCTCCGTCCGGAGGCCATTCCGTGCAGGGGAGCAGGCTGGCCCCGCCGTCCCTGCGTCCCTCACCACCCGGGGGAAGTGCAGGGCCGGGCACAGGGGACCCGCAGCAGCTTTGGAGATGCACTTGCAACCAGGAGGACGGCAAGGTCACATACCCGACATGTCCTGGTTAAACAAAGCCATTTACCAACACCGTGTTGACACAGCAGAGCTCGGGACAGAGTCACAAAGGGCACTCGCACCAGGCCCCCGTAATACCCAGAGGGCTTGGGGAGAGCTGGGACCTGGCAAAGCGTCCCCTGCCTCGGCCCCTCGGCAGGACACGCGTGGGCAGCGCTGTGCCCGCGGCAGGGAGACCACGCACGGCCCGACCCGACCGAGGCTGCTCCGGGAATCGCTCCCAAAGCGGCGGAGTCCAGCCGGAATCGCTGCCCGGGGCAGAGCCCAGGGGTGCCGTCAGTCCGACGGCAGCGCCCCTGCCCAGGGATGCCAGCGGGCAGCGGGCACAGCCCCGCGGGAGCCCCAGGCCCAGAGCACCCAGGGGCTCCTTTTCCCCGCGGCCGGCGCCCAGCACCGGGGCGGCTCGGGGAGCGGCGGCTCCGGGGTCCCGGGGCTCCATTCGCGGCCCCGGGGTTGCGCAGTCCTCACTCGAATCCACATCCCCGCGACGGGACCGGCGACATCCCCAGCCCCGAGCCCGCGGCTGCGGGCGCTCCCTGCCCTCCTCCCTCCCTGCCCTGCCCGTACCTGTCGAGGCTGGGCTCGCGGCGGCTCCCGAACGCATCTCGGGACCGGCGGGGAGCGGGTCCGGCGCGCTCGGCGAAACTTTAGCGGAGCCGCGACGGCAGCGGCTGTGGCGACCCAGGGGGAGGGACCGGCTCGGGGGAGGGACCGCGGGCACGGAGCCGCGTCCCGCCGCCCCGCTCCTCCCGCCGGCACCAGGGGGGCACAGCCGGTGCCCAGCCCCGCCCGAGCGCCGGGCGCTGCCCCCGCATCACCGGCGGCCGCTGCCGGGAGCGCCGCCGGTTGTCCCCGCCCCGCCCCGCTCCCGGGCACCGGCTCGGCTCGGCGGGGACGGGCGGAGCGGCGGGGGCAGATAGACCCGCCAGCCCCGGGGACCCGTTCCTAGGAAGGTTTCCCCGGTCCCAGAGCGCCGCCCGCTCCGGGGGCTGCTCGGAGCCTCCGGGAGCCGGGCGGGTCTCGCCGCCGGCCGCCGAAACACCCGCGCTCCGGCCGCCGCCGGCGGTGACGGGTCAGTGTCGGCCGCCGCCGTCCCGCTGCAGGTAAACACAGCCCAGGAACGCACCGGGACCGGCTGGCCGGGGCGGCAGTGGGACCCGGGGAGCCCCGGCCTGGGGGTGCCCTGTGCCGGCTTCCCGGCACGAACGCATTTACCCGGGGCCGTGCCGGTTGAGCCCGCACGAGGCCCGGTGGGCGCTCAGCGCAGCCCCGCATCCCCGGAGCCGCCTCCCGCGGGCTCCGCTCCGGCGGCCGCCGCCGGCAGCAATTCCCCCGGCTGTGGGCACAGGAGCGCGGGGACCCGCGGGGGTCCGGCCTTTGCCACGAGGATCGGAGCCACCGCTGCCCTCGGAGATGGCCCCGGCACCTTCCAGGCCGGGAGGGGGCTTTGCGGGAGGACGGGCAGCCCCAGCCGTAGCTGGAGCGGGCAGAGGTGCCCGGGGAGCCGCTGCAGGCAGCAGGGCGGGCGCAGGGGCAGGCGGCACGGCCACGGCCGTGCCAGCCCCGCGTTCCCCGATGCGCAGCAGATAAGCGGTGCCCTCGCACTGCAGCTGCGGGCGCTGCGCTCGCAGCCGTGTCTGGCACACGCTGTCCTGCCTGCCAGTGTGGCTGCGGCAGTTCGGCTGCCACAGGGGACGGGGGACAGGGAACGCGCACACGGGAGCGCAGCGCTGAGCAGGGCTCCGTGCTGCCGGGGCCATGGGGCTCCATCGCTCTCCTGCTCCACGCTGGCCCTTTGCATGGCACAGAGCAGCAGCCGTCACCCCCAGAGCCTGGGGCGCTGCAGGACGTGGGGGACGAGGAAGCACAGCCTGGCAGGGCAGCCCCAGCTCCACGAGCCTTCACCTGCCCATGGCCTCTGCTGCATCTGGGCATAAGCCCAGAGTGGAGATGCCAGCCAGCATCATTAGGCCTCGTTAAGGTGACGAGCTTTCAGTGCTCTGCTGTGCCAGTCTGCCGGAGCCCAATTAGTGTCACATCCGGGAGGCAGCTCCCGCAGGGGCGACGGGCGCCCTTGGCACAGCCCTGCCCTGGAGCTGCCGTCCAGCTGAGACCGGGCACAGCTCAGCCGTGGAGCCTGCCCACACAGCCAGGGGTGCTGGGCACAGAGCTTGGCACACCACCAGGGCCAAGCCTTGCTGCCCTCTCTCAGCTCTGGGGGGCTCAGCTCCCAGCCCATGCCCCCAGCCATGAAAAGGAGTGCAGCATCTCTCCCTCCTAACAGGACAGCAGGCCCTGTGCCACCTTCACTCTTTATTATACAGCAAGGTCTCAGATATTCCAGTTCTTTGATTCCTTGGGGCCAGCTCACACAGGGGTGCCATAGCGGAGGGGCTGGTGCTCACAGCCCCCTCACACTGGGCAGTGTGGGGTGAGGGGCTGTGAGGAGTGGGGTCTGCCCAGCCCCAAGGGGAGAGGGGCTGCAGAGTGGTGGTGGGGACGCCCCCACAGAGAGCAGATCCAGTGTGGGGTGGGTGCAGTGTGGTAACAGAGTACTGGGTCCCCGAGCAGGCACTGGCAGCCCTGCCAGAGCAAGGTCCTCTCCCCACCATCATTGGTATGAGGCACAATCCCTGAAGAGCCCAGCAGCCAGCGGTGCTGAGGAGCTTTGGCCAAGCAGGAGCAGAGGGTGGGAGGCCAGGAGCAGGGCAGGAGGTGCAAGCTGTGCTGGGGTTAGGGAGGAGCACGGGGGCTAAAGGCAGAGGGAGGACACGGCCTCACAGACCCTGCCCCAAGCCCCAGCCCACAGCTGCAGGGGCAGCAGCCCCACGGGCTCTGTGACAGAGCCTGGCCTCTGATCTCCCTACCCCCTGAGACAGCACAGTCCTGCTTCGGGGGCACATCAGGGACAAGGCTCAGGGGGGGCAAGGACACAACTCAGAGCCAGTAGAGAAGTGGGAAGACAGAAATCCCCCCCAAAACCCCCCAAAGCAGTAATGCAGAGGTGGAGATGCTGAGAACAGGGGTGAGAGGAAGGGTGAGTTTGTGAGGGGAGGTTGGCCACAGGTGCTGGCAAGGCACAGGAGTGGAGTTGAGAGGAGGGGGAATGGCACTGGCCCCAGAGAGCAGAGAGGGGTTCTGGGATCTTGGGGGTGACCCACACGCTCACCCCCCTGGGGCAAGGCAGGGTCCAGTCCCCCAGACTCAGGTGGTCACTTTGATCCCAAAATATTTGCGCAGCTGCTCCAGGAACAGAAAGGTGAGAACAGTCTGAGGAACCAGCCGGACAGCAGCAGGAACGAAGCCCTGGAAGGGGACAGCAAGAAGAGGAAGAGTCAGTGTGTGCCTGCCACTGGTTGTCCCAGCAGCCCAAGTCTGGCAGCAGCACGAGCGGGCAGGCGTGGGTCAGCACGGGCCGGGCTGTGGAGCAGGTACTGTCACACCACGGCCACCACGGTGCACACAGGGCTCAGCACCACGTGCCGACCCCTCTGGCACCTGCACTGCTGCTTGGGAGCTCGACGGGTGCAGCAGGGCCACAGCTGCGGTGCCTGGCCCAGCCCGAGTCCCACCGAGGCCAGGGCTTGCAGCACCTCGGGGCCCAGCCCGGGCCGGGCAGACAAGAGCCTGAAGCAGGCAGCAGCTGGGCTGCCACAGCAGAACCTGGAAGGTTCCCTGCCCCAGGACTGCTCTGGGCCGCAGCCTCTGCTCCCAGCGCGGCCCAGCCTGCCCCACCCCTGCACCCCCAGCCAGGTACCTTGTAGAAGGCAAGTGGTCCGAGCTTGGCGGTTTCCACGGCACAGTGAGTGACTCCCTGGAGTGAGAGGGCGAGAGATGAGGTGGGAGGGGCTGGGAGGCAGAAGCTGGCACGCGGAGATGGGAGGACAGGCAGCAGCAAGGTGGGCAAGGTGAGCGACTCACCTGGTACTCCCCGTGGGAGTTCATGAGGCGGGTCTTGAGCACATCCAGGGGCTGGCACAGGAATGTGGCACACAGGCCCTGCAGAGAGTCAGCCAAGTCAGGAGACCTCTGTGCCAGCAGCTGCTGTGGTCACTGCAGAGCCTCAGAGCCACCCTGGGGCCTGGAGCCTCCTGGAGGCACTGTGCTGAGCCGAGCCCAGAGCAGCAGCTCTGGCAGCCCCAGCCTGACACCCTGACCCTGCTGCAGGCAAACCCAGCACTGCCCCCGGCCCCCAGCCCCACTCACAGCGATGACGCTGGACAGGAAGTGAGTGAAGACATTGTCCGACAGAAATCCAGTAGCGAGAACCAGCTGCTTGGCCTGGTCATAACAGGAAAGCTGCAGAGACACGGTGAATCAGCGACATGCTCCCCGTTCCTCGTGCACCAGGGACCATCCTTGTCCCTATCCCAGTCCCCTACTGCCCAGCAGAGCTGCCCTACCTGTCCAACAGTGACAAGGGCCCCACGGATTGATGCCACTGATGCTCCTGAGAAGAGTTTCTTCACGCCCTCTGTGGACAGACAGATTTGGATCAGCACGGTTCTCTGCCATCACTCAGACTCCATTACCCCGGGAGTCTCACATGCCCAGTGTGTGTCCACAACTCCGCACACAGCCCTGCTTGAAGCCCACCATAGCAAACAGGCTGAAGGAGTCCTTCAAAGCAGCATGACCTCCTCCGTGCCTCTGCTCATCCTCTGCTCCACCCTCCTGTGCTGCTCAGTTGCGGCTCCCAGCAGCTCACCCTTTCCCACCAGGTTTGTGCAGGCTGCCAGGCCCTGGCAGACCTCGCCCAGCCCCTGCCCCAGCCAGATGATGAGGAGATGCAGACCCTGCGCTCCCCTGCACACCCCCCGCCCCAAGGGCATCCCCCGGCCCCTCTCCCTGCCCCGGCTGAGCGAACTTCCAGGGCGCCCTGACCCGGCACCTGCTAGGACACCGGAGCAGGCTCACCCCCACGGCTGGCACTGCCTCACCTTCCCGGAAGACACGGTACATGCCATCCAGGGCATGGGAATAACTGGAAGGAGCGAGAGGGGAAGGGGTCAGGGCCCGAGGCTCCCCGCACGGCGGCGGCCCCGCCCGGACCCCCCCGAGCGCCCCCGGTGCGGTGCTCGGGCCCCGGTCCCGCCGGTGCGGTGCTGCCCCCCCGCGGCCGCGCGGACCCCGGCCCCTGTCCCGCCGGCCCCTCCAGGCCTCCCCCCTCGGCCCCCGCGCCCCTCGCCCTGCCCCTCACTCACTTGCGCCGCTGATTCGGCGGCTGCTTCATGTCGTTCTGCATCCTGCAAGGCAGAGCACCGCAGGTGAGGGGGCAGCCGCTACCCCGCTGTCCCCTGCAGCACCGGGGACCCCAGCACAGGGCAGCGGTGTTGTGTTGCCCATTTACAAAGGGCCAAGAAAGCTGCATTCAGTCCCACTCGCCCTGAGGGTCACACACGGCTGGGTGCTGTCACCAAAAGGCAGAACAGCTCTGGCCATCCTGGGCACAGAGCTCCCGGCCCACTGACCACGGGGCAGGCTGGCCGGGAGAGATGTCAGGAGAACCCCAGCATAGCCAGCACCCCAAATGCCGTCATGCACCGGGGGCCAAAAGCCCTGGTCGTGCAGACAGAACTGACCTGACGTTCACCATGTCTGCCGGGGTTCCCACAAGCCCACCAGTGAAACCTGTGGCCAAAGAAGAGCTGGGTCAGGGCTTATCCTTCCTGAGGGAGCCAGGGCCAAGGGCCCCAGTGCCTGGCTCACCTCCTGCTGCAGCCATGAGCACTTTCTGGTAGAAGGGGGGAGGCCCCTGGTGGCTCAGGCGGTTCTTTGCGCTCTCATAGATGCCAAAGCGAGTCAAGGAATATGTCATCTGCATGGGGAACATGAGCGGCTGTGTGTACACAGGGCAGCTCCCCACGGCAGCAGCGGGGGCTGCAGGGGCTCCAGCTCTCACCTGCCGGCACAGCGAGGCGCTCAGCCCGTTGTAGAGCGCCAGGAAGCCGTCGGTGCGGATCACGTGCAACGCCATCCCCGTCATCCTCATCTTCACCTCCTGCTGCGTCTGCAGGTGCACCTGGGGCAGAGCGCCGCGCGTCAGCCCAGCGGGGCTGGGCAGGGACAGAGGGGCTCGCAACAGGCGGGGACTGGAGCTGTGCCGGGACAGCAGCACTGGCACAGGAGCCAGCTGCAAGACACGGACAGCCCGGAGCAGGCTGGCCCAGCCCGGCAGCGGAGGGGCGGAGGCAGAGAGGGAGGGAGGGAGGGAGGAGTGCCGAGGCTCCTGCCTGCAGCACCGCCCGGGCCCTGCCCTCACAGCCGCCCAAGGTGAAGGGTGCGCCTGCCCTTCCGGGCACCTCAGGGTGGAAGGTGCGGGTGTGTGGGTGTGCGCCCTGCAGTACATGAGTGAGCCCTGTGTGGGTCTGCTCGAGGGGATGCGGCTGGGCTGGTGAAATCACGGCCATGCAATGCAGCAGGCCTGCAGAGCCACTTCCCCTCCTCCTCAGTGCAGCAAGAGAACCCCACAGCTGGCCAGGCGCCTTCCTGCCTGCAGCAGCCCAACGCTTCCCACCATCTCCAGGGGACAGGTGTCAGGCACAGGAGCTGGCTGGGACAGGGCAGCCGTGTGGGCTGATGCTGGAGCATGCTCTGAGCGCTGCCGAGACCACATGTGGGTCAAAGGCCCCAGGAGATAAGCAGAGCAAAGGGCTGCTGACAGGGGATCAGGCCACTACGGAAGCTGTGGCACAGCTGGGTCGTGTGACACTCTGCAGGATATTGGGAACAGCCAGTGTCTCTCATATGAAGCAGCAGCAGGGGTGCAGGGGCTTGCCTACAATCCCCACGGGTGGATTTTGTACGTCAGGGACCAGAGCTTGTGGCAGTTCACAGCCTGGGGCAGCTGAAGCGGGCAGGGCCGTGTAGGGACACAGTCCACTGCCTGCAGTCCCAGCTCTGCAGGAAGGGCAGGCAGGCAGGGGACGGGCTGGCCAGGCTCTGGTCACTGCTGGTCGCTGCAGGGCCAGCAGCCCGTGGGCAGCCAGCAGCTGCACAGTTGGCCTAAGGGCACAAGCACTGTGTAGGTGAGCTGGCCAGGGCCTCTCACTGGGGCCAAAGTCCAGAGGTGCAACGAAGCGCCCTTCGTCCCCTGCCCTGCCAGAGCCTGAGGCCCCTTGTGCCTCCCCAGGCCTGGCACCAGCCCCTGCTGTGGGGGAACACATGGCCAAAGAAGGGTCTGTATTCAACAGTCAGTGTGATTATTGATCTGGCAAAAACAGCTGGCCAGGTTGTGCTGCTCGCAGGAATGCAGGGGCTGCTCATCCATAGAGGACAGCATGGGGATGCAGCCCAAACGTCACAGCCATCACGCTGGCTCGGAGACAGACCTAGAGGCAGGTGCCAGACTAATTCCCTTTCTTAGCGCCTCGCCAGGCACCCCACACAAGCTCCCACGGGCTGGCAGCCACCTCTACTGGGCAGACACGGCCAGCTGGGCAAGGCAACAGGCCGAGTGCTGGGGAGCCGGCACTGCCCTGCCAGGCTGGCTCCTCTCCTGGGCCTGTGCCTGGAACACCTTCCCCTCTCTCCGCGGGGTGGGAAGGGGCCGTGTGTCCCAGCCTCACCCACAGGCATGGCCCTGGGAAGGGCAGGCCCTGTCCTGGGCTGCCTCCTCCCTCCCCCTCGCAGCCTGCTCCGCTGCCAGGCTCGTCGCCACTTGGCCAGCGCACAAGGCTCTGGGCAGCGCTGGCATTTGCCCCACGTGTGGGTGCTGGCAGCGCAGGCTGCGCGCGGCGCCCTTTGTGCGGCAGCAGGCATGCCAGGTCATCTGCGGCGCCTAGGTGACATCTTGGCCGGAGGGCTCCGAGCCCAGTGGGCCAGCGTCCAGCACTGCCGTGTCCAGGCAGGGCTGCCCAGGGCACCCTGCACAGCTCCTGGAGCTGGCACCCCAAGCTCCCGGACCCCTCAGCCACACACCCACCCATTCCCCTGCCCAGGGTCTTTGTGACCCCTCAGCCATGTCCCTGCACAGCCACGAGTCAGCTCCTCAGAGCAGCAGCTGTTTCCCCAGACCTCTACAGCTGTTCTCCAGCTCCCTCCGTTGCTCTGGGACCCTCACAGCCATTCCCGGTGCCTTCACAACCCTTCCAGAACCCCAGAGCAGCTCCCCATCCTCTCGAAGTTGCTCTGGGACCCTCACAGCCGCACCCCCGCAGCCAGGTCGCTCAGAACCGGTCCCGCAGCCGCTCCGGGACGCTCAGACCCGCTCCCCGTCCCGTCCCGGCCGCTGCCCCCGCTGCAGCCCAGTCCCCTACGGCCGCTCCCGGGACCCTCGGAGCGCCTCCCCGTCCCCTTACAGCCACTTCCAGCGCCCCAGAGCCGCTGCAGGACCGTCGGAACGCCTCCCCGCTCCACCGCAGACTGCCCAGAACCCCTACAGCCAGTCCCAACTCCCCCAACCTCCTCCCCACCTTCTCACACCCTCTCCGGGACCCTCACGACCAATACCCGCCTGCAAGCCCTAACCGATACCTGTCCCCATAACCGCCCCCAAGCGCTCACCGACACCTGCCCCCATAACCCATAACCGTCCCCTCACGCCACCCGCCCCCGTAACCGCCTCGCCATCCCGTCAGAGCCCCCCCAGTCACCGCAGCCATTGCCAGCCTCTCACACTGCCCGCCGTGCCCCCGACGGGCTCCCCGCGCCGCCGGGGCCGCCCCGGGCCGTGTTCCCCCTCACCTTCAGCAGATCCAGGGGATGCGTGCAGCAGGCGGCCCCGGACGACGCGAGGCCGCCGAAGTACCAGCGCGAAACGCGCTGCTCCGCCATGGGCGCCGCTGCTGCCACAAGCCACGCCCTCACCGGGACAAGGTCACGCCCCCTTCCGTTAAGCCACGCCCTCTCCCGGTACCGGAAGGGGGTGGGGCGGGCCCGGGGCTCGCATCCCCGACCTGCGGCGAACGCGGCAGCCGCAGGCTCCGGAATCCTCGCTCCCACCCCGCACGCATCCCCATTTCCAGCCCGGGGAAGGCCCTTCCCGGCCATCATTAAGGGATTAATTAATGGGGAGCTGAAGCCATCAGCCAGAGCGAAGAGGGGCGGGAGGCACAGGTACACAGGGCAGCGTTCCAGCGTGCACACACTGAGCGCAGGGACAATCACAGCTCCAGAATACACCTTCCCACCCCGCACGCATCTCCACAACCTGCGGAAGTGTGTTCTTCTCGTAAATAACTAACAGAGAGGTGAGGCATCAGCAAGAGGCAGTGCGAGGAGGTGGGTGATGCGCTGGCACACACTTCCAGTACCTGAATGGAGCCTACAAGAAAGATGGAGAGAGACTTTGTACAAGAGCGTGTCGTGACAGGACAAGGGGGAACGGCTTCAAACTCAGAGTAGGTTTAGATTAGATATTAGGAATAAGTTTTGGCTGTGAGGGTGGTGAGGCCCTGGCACAGGCTGCTGTGAAGAGAAGCTGTGGCCGCCCCATCCCTGGAAGTGTTCAAGGCCAGGCTGGACAGGGCTCGGAGCAAGCTCGCCTGGTGGAAGGTGTTCCTGCCCAGAGCAAGGGGCTGGAATGAGATGATCTTTCAAGGTCACTTCCACCCTAAACCATTCTGATTCCATGACATGGGGAGCACGGGGACAATCAGCACTTGAGAAAGATGAATCATTGTACAGGTTTTTTTGGGTATTTATAAGGTAGAGTTCATGGTGATGGCAGAAGCAGCAGCTCTGCCCAACCGTACAGCATTCTCTGGGAGAGTGCCCCACTGGGCACTCGGAAAGGTCCAGAGCCCGGCCTGGCAGCAGCTGCAGCACCAGTCCCTCCACGGCGAGCCTAGTCCAGAACAACAGTCCCTCCTGCTGCCTCCAGCGCTGCTTTGATCTTCTCTGCTTCCTCCTTGGAGGCGTTGGCCTTGATCTCCTGCGGAAGGGACTCCACCAGCTTCTTTGCCTGCGAGAGGGACAAAGTACAGGCTTGTAAACAGGCTTTCACTAACTGGATTACTGGATTTAGAGCCATGATCCTGACCTCTGCTTAAGCCAACCGTGGAAACTCAGTGACCAGCACAAACCCCGAGACTCGCGCTTGAACTGCGGCGCATCCCACAGAAGGCAGCTAACCCTGGCTGCCAGTGGTGACACACCTGCTGGGAAACCTTTCCTTGAATTCTTGCACAGGTGCTGCTGGCGTGCAGGCCACCCTGAGAGGGGTGCAGCAGAGCCCCTGCCGTGCCCTGCTGGGCAGCATCCGCTGGGCTGGCTCTGCTCAGGACCGTGTTTTGGGTCACATTCTTGTGCCAGCAGGAGGGGAGACCACTGCAGGGAGTGGACACAGCTCCAGCACAGACTACTCGACAACACAGTACTCTGACATTTCAGGGACTTTTAAAGCAGAACTACTGGTACTAAGCAGCACTGCGATGCTTAAGGCAAGCTGCAAAACTGCTGAGCTAATTTAAAGAATTTACTGCAGTGCTGCTATAGAGAAGGAAGTGAGCCCAGGGGGACGAGCCCCTGCTGCTCTTACACACAGCAGCTCTCTGCCACAGCACTGCAGGTGTTCAGCACCCACTGGACTGGTCACTGTGCTGGCAGGAAGGTTTTGTCCCTTTAATTCCTGCTGGGTTCAATGCCTCCGTATCTGTGGTGGAAGAAAAATGCTTTTTTTGCTGGGGTTGGAAGGCACAGATGTGTGAGCAGTGGGCTGGTGGGGCAGGAATGCCTTTGCTCACCAGGACAGGATTTGGACAGGAGCCTGGACAGGCTCACTGTGATGAGCACAGGCAACACAACACAGGTTATTAATTTCTGAACTCTGCTCAGGAAGGCGTGACTCCATTCTAAAGCAGCCCCAGTCCAGAGAGGCAGCTGTTCCTGGCATTCAGTGGGAAGAGGAGCAGAGCCCAAGCCACGTGGAACCCGTGCAGGAGCAGCAGCAGCAGCAATGGGGCAGAGCAGCAGCTCCCACTGCAGCCAGAGCCCAGGGCTGGTGGTGGCAGGGTGGGCATCTGCTGGGCAGCTCCCAGTGAGCTTCCTGGGCTGCAGCCAGCCCTGGTCCCGAGTGTGCTGGTCACACACCTGTCTCATCACACAGTTATTGCCACAGGACTGATGTTTGGGTCCCAGCAGTGCCCAAGGTACGCACTGCCTGTGCTTCCCTCCATAACACCAGCAGCCCTACAGACCATGGGCAGATCCACCCGAAAACCTCATAAAAACACCTTGACTGGATGGCAGCAAAATTTACAATAAAAGGGCTTTGGCTCCTCATTGAACAGAGTCCCTGCAGGTAGAACCTCCACAGCTGTTTGTGTTGTGTGCGTGCTTCACCAGCGTGCTGGGCCTGGGTACATCACACTTGAGTTTAGTTGCAATAACTGGCACCACCAACAGCTCATGCAGCAGGTGCCACGTGCAAAGCCAGGCTCACTGGGCATCAGCTCTCCAGTTAATTATCTGTTGATTGTGTCCTTTACAGGGTTTGGTATTTTCATGTTTGCCTGGGGCCAATAACAGATGAACAACTTCCAGGATAACTTTCTGACAGTCAGGAAATTATCCCCACAAGACAGCCAAACTTGTACCTGTGCCACTGACTCTCTGCTGGCTTTGTAATGCAGCAACAAGAATGGAGCAGAAGATTATCTGCAAACACTTCTGCTCTCCTGGGTTACAGCAGGAGCAGACATTGCAATACTCAACACTGCAGCTGGAATACTGCAAGTGCTACTATTGACCCCAAGATATGAAAGCACCACCCTGGAGATGTGCAGCACATTACATGCTTCAGCAGTAGCAGCTTCATCACCCAACATGCTGAGCCCACATCCAAGGTCAAGGGCGGAGCTCAGACACTGCCCAGGGCTGAGGCCCGACTCCTCCAAGGAAAGAAGTGTCACCACCTATAAAATGAAGGGCCCTGAAAAGAGCTGGAAGCCTGGACTGCAAGAAGTGTGAATTACAGAGGCTCATGTAACTTCAGAAATACATTGACTTTTGGAAAGGCAAGCCAAACCCAGCTGTAGCAAGAAATGCTGGCTACTCCTGAGCTCTGCAGGAAAGCTCATGCACGGCAGCTCTCAGGTTTGGAGAAGGGGAGGCTGGCATGGACATCTCTGAGTCCTTTGCTCTGAGCCTCCTCCTTATCCCCCTGTTCTGACAACGGAAAATGCCAGATGAAGGAGCTACCAAATGCTGCTCCGCACATCTCCCTGCACTGAGATGCACGCAGGCAGGCTGTGCTTCTGAATGCACACATCCAGGCTCCCCTTTGAACAGAGAGCCAAGGCTGCTGGACCTGGGGGCAAAACCCCAGAGCTGGGGCAGCACCTCCTCACCTGCACCAGGTTCACTCCGGGCACGAAGTTCTTCACCTCCTTGATCAGCTTCACCTTGTCAGCGGCTTTAAACTCGGTCAGCCGGACGGTGAAATGAGTTTTCTCCTTCTTGAGCGGGACCACCTCCTCCTCCTTCTGGAAGCAGCCGGAGCGCGGTGAAGCCCCGCGGCCGAGCCCCCCGGCCGAGCCCGCCCCGCGGCCCCCGCGGCCCCGCTCCCGCCCCTCCCGGTACCTGCGGAGCCGCCTGGGCGGGCAGCAGGGAGGCGGCGGCGGCCGCGGGCATCACCCCCACGTCCGGGATCTTCAGCGTCTCCTACGGGAAGAGCGAGCGGCGGCACCAGCGGCCGGTCAGGCGGCGCACGCGGCCGGGCCGGGCCGGGCCGGGCCGAGCCGAGCCGCGTCAGGCCGGGCCGAGCGGGGCCGGGTCCCGCACCCACCTTGAGCAGCGCGTTGAGATCGGCCACCTCCAGCAGCGTCAGCCCCGCAATGTCCCGCACCAGCTGCCGCACCTTGGGCGAGTACTCCTTGGCGGCCGTGTCCAGCGGCGCCCCGGCCAGCGCCTCCGAGCGCCGCGCGGGGCCGGTGCCGAGCGCCCGCAGCCCGGCGGGGGCCCCGCGGCGCGGCGGCGGCGGCCGGAACGGCGGCGGGAGCAGCGGCGGCCGCGGGAGCAGCGCCCGGCGGGCGGCGGGCAGCGCGGCGGGCAGCATGGCGGCCCGAGGACACCGAGCGCTCCGCCCCGCCCGCGCTCCCGGCGGCCCCGCGCGCCGCTCCCAGCCAATAGCGACACAGCGCCCGCGCAGCGGTGCGCCATGGGAGATGTAGGCCAAAGCGGGCCGATGGGACAGCAACGGCCGCCGTGATAAATCCATTACTATTTATCATTTCTAAACGGGATAGAAAAAATTCCATGTCTGAAGGAACAGAAAGTGCTTCCTCTCTGGAACGTTTGGAAGGAGAACTGGTTATATTTCTACACTGCACAGCATGGTTAACAGTAAACCTGAAGCATAATGAATGCAAATTAAAAGCAACAAGAATAGTCAGAAAGCCTTGTCATTTTACCTTTTTGACTTTCACTAAGTGCAGTAACACATTCTAATGCTCCATGAAGCTTAATAATTTAGGACTATGCATCTACAGCACAGATACATTCCAGATATTGTAGGGAGGAAATTTCAGTGGCCAGAGCTCAGTTTGACCTGCAGCTGGCCGGTGCTGCGGGTGAGGTGTGACGGGAGCTGCTGCCCCCGGAGCTGCTGCCAGCCCGCGGCAAACACTGCCCCGTTCGTTCGCGGGGGGATGCCCAGCACAGGAGCCGCGGTTCGTTCCAACACTTTATTGTCACCGGTAGCACTCGGTCTCCGCCGGGATGGGCGGGACGGGACAGGCCGGGCCAGCGCGGGGCCGGGGCCGTGAGGGAGCGGGGCGCGGCAGGGACGGGGCAGGGCTGGAGGCTGCGCCCCTGGGGCCGTGCCCCAGCCCCGGGACAAGGACAGAGGCAGGCTGGCACCGGGGCCGGGCAGGGGCCCGTGCCACAGCGCCGGGACAGACGGGGCAGGGCTGGCACTGGGGCCGGGCAGGGCTGGAGGCTGCACCCTCGGGCCCGCGCCACAGGCCCGGGACAAATGGGGCAGGGCTGGCACCGGCGCTGGGCAGGGGCCCGTGCCACAGGCCCGGGACAAGGACAGGGCAGGCCGAGCTCCCGCCCGGCCCCGGGGCCGCCGCTGCCGAGGGCGGGTGGGTGAGCCAGGGCTGCTGCCCCAGCCGCAGGGCGTGGGGCTGCCCCCCGCCCCTTGGTCCCCAAAGCCGGCAGCAGGAGCCTCGGGCCCCACCGCCCCTGGGGCACGGGGCCGGGGGGCAGCGCGAGTAGTCGAAGTACAGAGTGATTTCAGATGAAGAGTAGTGTTACACCGGAGCCCCGCGTCTGCCATCAGTCAAACGAGATGAGCTGGGCCTCCCCGCTGCCCGGGGGCTGCTGCCCGGGGGCAGGCGCTGCCGGGGGCTGCTGCTGGGGGGGCCCCCCAGCTGGGGCCACCTGCAGCAGAGGAAACACCTTTGTCAGTGTGTGCCTTCGTTAGCACACGTGCCCCACTGTGTCCTGACCCCCAGGGCTGGTGGCACTCACCTGTTGGTAGAGGGGCTGCTGCCCGGGCAGGTAGGACTGCTGGGCTGGCAGGCTGCTCAGAGCTGTGTCCTGGCCCGGCAGGGCAGACATAAGACCCTATGGGAACGAGGGGGTGGCTGTCAGAGGGGCTGGGGTCCATGCAGCACCCACAGGGCAGTGGTGGGTGACTGCCCCCAGGATGGGTCCATGGGCTGGAGCCCAGCCATGCCCTGTCCCCCCACGCCCAAGCAGGGAGTGCTCACCTGCATGCTGTAGGGCTGGTAGCCCATGGAGACAGACTGGCTGCCCATGTAGCCCATGGTGCCCGACTGGGGTGCCTGGGAGATGGCTGGGATGCTCTGCGACTGTGAAGCTGCAGTCTGTGGGGAGAGGCTGGTGAGAGGTGGCACAAACAATGGCTCACTTCTCCGGACAAGGCCCTTGAGCCCAGAACTGGATCTCACTCCAGCCCACTTCCACAACAAGAGCAGCAGATGTGGAGATCTGGAACCAACCAGCCCGTCCTCCCTCCTGCTCCGAGATCTCGTTGCTGAGTTTGGGTACGTTGCCCAGCCCCACCAAACCCCCCAGTCCCTGTCCCAGCTGGCTGCAGGCCACGCTGCCTCACTTGCCTGGTAGCCCTGCGTGGGTGTGGGCTGGTAGGACGAATATGCAGGGGTGGTGGTGGGCACCGCCGGCCCCTGCTGAGGCCCCTGCCCGCTGCTGGCACCCGCCTGGTACATGTAGGCATTCACCATGCTGGGATCTGGGGGGAGAGAGCAGAGGTTGGAGAAACCACCCCGGGCTCTCCCCTACCCCCAGAGGCTGAGCTGCCCAACGTACCAGTGCCGGGCATGGCAGCGTAGGGCCCGGTTCCCCCTTGTGCAGCCTGGTTCATGTACACGCTGTGCATGGGAGAGCCCTCCACAGAGCCAGCTGGGCTGAACGTGCCAGGGAAGCTGGTGGGCCCAGAGGGCTGGTAGATCACCCCGCTGGCTGCGGGCATGGCCTGGAGCTGGTGGGAGAAGGAAAGCCAGGTTAAAGCCGCAGTACCTGGAACCTGGCAGGGGGAGCCCTGCCCAGCAGCTGTACCTGAGCATAAGGCAGGGAGAAAGCTGGCATCTGGGCTCTCATCTGGATAGTCTGCTTCTGCTGCTCCAGGCGCAGCTGCCTCTCCTTCTCCTGCTCCTGCAGCCTCTGGATGGCCAGCTGACGCTGCATCTCCAGGTACTCCTGTGGGAACAGGGCTGGGTGGTGAGAGGCACCACACCACACACCCCTGCCGGCAGGGCACCATCCCTGCCCGCCCTGGGCTGCCCTGCAATGCCCTGGACGTGCTCCCCTGCCTCACCTGCTTCTTCTGCCTCATGATCTCCAGCTTCTGTGCCAGCTGGATCTGGCGCTGGCGCTCTGCCTCCTCCGCGGCACGGCGCAGCTTCTCCTGGTGCTCCTCGCGCAGCGCGTTCAGGGCCCCGCGCGCGTCCCGGATCTGGGCCAGCTTGTCCTGCAGGCCCTCATAGTACACTGGGGAGGGAAGGGACAGCCTCAGGAACATGGGACTGCAGAGCAGCCCCTCTCCGGTGAGCCTGTGCCACGGGAGCGCTGAGCCCCGACACTGGGGAAGCCCCGGCTGCCGCCCACCCGCGCCCACGCCCGCAGCTCCCCCAGCTCCCACGCACGCCTCCGCTCGTCCAGCTGGTTGAGCAGCTCCAGCAGCTGCGGGTGCATGTTGTTGATGGACTGGAAGAGGGACAACACGGCAGAGTCGTTGGTGATGCTGCGGCCTCGCATGTGGTTGCTCTTCATGCGGTTGACGAACGTGGTGACCGCGTTCTGCAGTGCCTTCAGGAATTGCTCGTGGTTCTCCTCGGACTCACCGTTCTGGTACTGCTGCTGGAAGGAAGCATGGGGCAGCCAGTCAGCTGTGACCTCCCAGTGCCAAGAGCCAGCAGAGCCCAAGAGTCGGGTGCTTCTTGCCCCTCGGTGGGTGCCAGACGCAGGCCCAGGCCCCCCCTTACCTCAACCACCCCAAGAGGGGCAGGGTGGGCGTCCCCAGGCTGCACAGCAGGCTCTGTCAGGGACAGGGGTGCTGACGGCGTGGGGCTCTTGCGAACCTCCTCCTGCTTCTTCTCCCAGTAGTTGCGGTTCAGGTACCGAGCCAGCTGCCAGGGAGAGAAGGAAGATGAGTATCACTGCCTTGCAGGAGCGAGCCTGTGCTGCACACTAGCAGGGCCAGGATCCTTACCTCTGGGTCAATGTCCTCGGCCAAGGGAGCAGAGGAATTCTGGAAAGAGACAAATGGAGAAAGGCAGTTCAGCAAAACCAGAGATCCCCAGGTCTCACACAGGTGTTCAGCTCAGAGCTGGCCATGTATGACCACCAGTGCTGAGCCTCAAAGGGGACACAAGCTGGGAGGCAGTGGAGGCACCTCAGTCCTGGCTTAGAACACACCTTCTTGCTCAAAACAGAGTGAACAAGCAAGGGGTTGAACGGGACAAATATTTTCCCTCAGTATGGGGATTAAACTGGACACAATTGGGGCAGACTTGGGCTCAGGAAGGGGCCTGTGTCCAGGACTTCACGTGCAGGAGCTCGGGAAGGGGCCTGTGTGCAGCCACTTCACGTGCAGGAGCTGCCAGGGACATACCACGGGTGGGGAGTAGAGTGTGCTGACTGGGGGAGCCGAGGACGTGACAGGAGTGGGCTCAGCCTTGGGATACATGGAGTAGGTTGTTTTCTGCCTCTGCAAAAGAGAAAATTGCCAACTCAGAGAGAACCCAGGCTGCTCCAAACCAACCACAACACAGCCCGTGACAGGCCCTGCTTTCATCCTCCCACTCCACAGGCTTTGAGCCTTGCTCACACCAGGACATGTCCAGAGCTCCGTTATGGCCCAGCACAGCTGGGCTGAAAAGCATCAACCCCTTCCGGACCCCAGGAGCCAACAAACCATTCTCTCTTTCTCCTCAGCCTCTGACTGAGACAAGGCAATAGCCAGCTGGAGCTCCTCTTCCTCCTGCAGAGCTGTCTCATCACGCTTTGGAGGCAGCTGCAAGTGGAAAGGTAAGGAGGTGGTCAGTAATGGGATCAACAAACAGGTCAGGATCACCAGATCACCTATGGGGCAGCTGCTCACCTGAGACTGCTGAGAGAGGGGGCTGGTCAGGTACTCAGGGGGCAGTTCGGAGGTGGCAGCAGCTTTACCCTCAGTTTTCCTGTAGTCACAAGAGAGATTATGGACTGAAAGCTCCCTTCTCTGCACCAGAGCCCAGCTCTGCACTATGTTCCAGCAGCAAAGCCCACTCCCAGGAAGAGGGCCCAGCCCAGCCTGCACAGCCAGGGAAGCCCCCCTTGTGCTCTGCAGGGAGCTAGTTCCACACCGCGCTTCCCTCCTCAATGTCCCAGGTGTCCCAGGCAAAGAAACCCACCACAAAGGGTACTGACTTGTTGAGATGCTCGTAGCAGGGCTCACAGACTCTCACTTCCTTCTCAATCCCAAACTTGGGGATGGTGGAATACTTGGAGGAGCATTTTCCACAGAAGATCTGCCCGCAGGCCCGGCAGTGGTGCTGTGAAGGGCGGGAGACGTGAGTGTAGTGGCAAGACATTCCTTCTCCCTTAGCCAGCATCACTCAGACACTCATTTCTCTGCCAGCAGCCAGCAAATGCGGCCTGACCCAGCACACTTCACACAGCAAGTCCTGCAGGGAGTCCTGCAAGCACCAAGGGCTGCGCAGAGCAGGGAGCCCAGGAGCAGCACCCACCTTGCGCGTCACGACGCCAAACTGCACTCGGCACCTGTGGCACTCCTCTGCATCCACCCAGTCTGGAGCCTGCAGGGGCAAGGGAAATGGAGTCAGGAGGGAGGAGTGCATCAGCACCGGCCCTTTCAGGAGCTCTGATGGCAACAGGGCTCTCTCCTGTCTCGTGGGGAGACTGGGGCTATCTTCAGCTCAACAGGAAATATTAATCCTCAGTTATGTCCTCTTGTGCTCCTCAGAGACTGTGATGTTTTCCCAGCCAGTACAAAATTTACTAGGAAACTGTCTGCACAGCAATCACTTCAGCAATGCCCTGCTGCCATGTCCAGCCTGCCAAGCTGCTGCAGGGCCAGTGAGCAGGAGGAATGATGGCTCTGACTCCCTGTCCTGGCCAGTTGTCCCAGTGAGGTCTCCAATCCGCACAAAATGGAGGAATGTGAGCCCTGCAGGTTTGCAGAAGGGGATGGGAAAGGGATGGGATGTCTGTCCCACAGCTGCTCCCCCACCACAGAGCTCACCCTCTCTGCAGCGAACATGGCGTCGCTCTCCTTGAACTCCGGGAAGACGTGCCCTGCAGGAGGAGAATGGAGAGAAAAGGGAGCTCGTTGTGAGAGGAATCCTCTGGCACAGGGAGGCCACGTGCCTGCAAGCTCGTGCTACAGGTGCCAGCTCAGCACCACCTCTTGTCTTGACCAGCACCCCCCTGTGACACACCAGGAGCAGGCTCCCCTCAGCCATGCTCTGAGGACAGTCCCCAACTGTTTCCCTTACACACCCACAAGGGACATCACAGGCCTCTGGATAAGGCTTATTTATTTCTCAGTACTTTGAACCGAGGGGGATAAAAAGCACACTGGATGGGCAGGCAGGGCTGTGAGTTTCAGCCCTTCAAGGGCCAGAGCTTGGCAACACCAGCTCAGGATGCTGGACTGGCCCTCCCAGCTTGTGCCACTGCCTGCAGAGTTTCTGGGGCACAGAAGGAAGCAGAGGCAGCAGCATGTCCCTGCCCCAGAAGTGAACACTGCTGTCCTGGACAGAAGGGAAAATGCCACACCAATAGTGTCAGCAAGTGGGACCATGTTGGGAGCAGGAACAAAAGCCTGTGAGGAAGGAACTGCCCCACAGCAAATCCCTCCCAGAGGACACGATGACTTGCTGCCAGTCTCCCCAAGAACAGTTGCAGCTCCTGCTTTTCAGGTCTCCCTGCCAGCCCTGAAGGCTGGGCTGGAGGCCTAGAGCAAGGCTGCCCTGGTCCATTGCACTGTGCCATGTCTGCAGCAAGGTTTGGTCACCCTGAAGGGTTTGTTGGGTATTGGGAACCAAGGAAGAGCTCAGTGTTGAAAGTCCAGATTTTGCTCACACCAGGCACTGAAGTGCCAAGGCTCCTGCAGGGCAGAGCTGCTTGACCAGGTGCCCCCTCACCTGTGGCCACAGTCCTCACCTTCAACCTTCATGATCTGGTAGGTGTCCTGCACCACCTTGTACTTGGGCTCGTTGCGGAAGGCGTGAGCCCAGGCCTGGATGAGGTACAGGATCTTACTGCGGACACTTGTCTCCACTTGCCTCTGCACAGGAAGGGAGGAGAAAAAACCTCTCAGAAAATGCCCCTGAAACCCAAAGGATGGCGTGAAATCCCTAAGGAGAAGCCAGAAATACCACTCAGGAAAGAGAGACTTTAGAGTCCTCAGGAGAGGTAAGAGCTGTCAGAAACCTGCAGCAAGGACAATGCACAGCACAAACAGCCCCTTCAGCTGCCCCACTGTCCCCTGCAGCACAAAGAACACAATGTCCTTGTGCAGCACGGACTGAACGGAGCTGTGGCCTTGATGCTCAGAGCAAGTGCCAGCACCCCCTCACCAGAGCCCCCCATCCCACACTCAGAACTCGGTGGGAGCCCCAGCTGGCCAGGACAGCACAACCCACCCTGCCCGCCCCTGACAGCGCCGGGGGTGCTGCAGGCTGCCAGCACCGCCGCTCCAGGAGAACTCAGAGCCATCTCAGGGTGTGACAAAGTGAGGACAGCTGGCACGGCTGCCCTTTGGAGGCAGGGCAACCGCACCACGCTTCGGGGAACTGGAGGAAAGTTGGCAAGCCTGTTCTGACCTCAGCCAGCCTCAGGGCTGCCGTGTCATCAGCTGCCCAAGTGATCACATCCACATGACTGGCTCTTCCAGAAATCCCCAGGAAGCACAGCAGCACTGTCGAGCTCTGATTTTAGCCAAGACCTCAGCCCACACAGCATCACTTACTGACAATTCTTGGAGCTCCAACTTCTAGGACATTTGGCAAAATCCTGCATTCCATTTGTGTCACAGCCCTGAACCTCATCAGAACGTGGACTGTTTTACCAGCACTGAGCGTTCACAAGCAGCAAAGCTCCAAGTGTGGAAGGAGAATGGGGCAGTTGTGAAACTCCTGAGGCAGGCAAGGACTGAGAGAACCACAAAATCCCTGGATGTGATTCCATCTCCTCAGCCCTTGGAGCGGCTGTGCTACCACACCTGGCTGTCATGCTATGGCAGTGCTCCTGCCTCAGAAGGAGATCCTGCAGGGAGACTGAGTCAGTCCTAACAGGAAGGTGACACATGGCTCACAGAGCTCGGCCTCCAAGGATCTGGGTCACCTGTTTGTTTATTTCTGGTGGAAGACAGAAGTACAATGCTAATGAGCTCTTGCCTGGGCACTGCTGTTCTGAGCTGGAGCTGGAGACAGGAGTTCTCATTTCCACTTCACTAAAGGAATTCCCCAGTCCAAGGACACATGAAGCTCCAGCAGGCATCAGACTGGTGACAGCTTGTAACAACAACTCATCAGTGCCAGCAGCCATGGTCACATCCTGAACAACTCCAGTGACATGGCCGTGACACAGAGGCAGCTCCAGCTGGTTTTTCCTTTGTTGCTTTACCTGCCTATGTGTCTCACCCTGTTCCATGAGAGGGAATTCACCTTGCCACTGCCCAGGTCCTTGGTACAGGTGCCTGGCCATTATCTGTTTTCCCTTGCTGTTCCAACCCAAGTGTTGCATCCAGGAGCATTTACCATGGAATGGCCCAGGCCCCCACAGCCCACTCCTGCCATTTCACAGCGCAGGCAAACCTCTGCTCCCACCACATCTCCTCCTCCCAGAAGCCCTCCTCACTGCCTACACTCATCCTTTCACAGCACACGATAATCTGCTCTTTTCTGAAGTGCATTTCCAGTTTCCCTTCTGCTCCTTACCCAAAGAGAACACAAGAGAGGACACGTACATTTCTTCCTATTGCTGCTGTTTTTCCATAGGAAAGAAACTGACAGTAAAATAAATCAATTTACCTTGAGTATTTCCTTCAGCTCCTCCATGGTCTGTTTATTGGCCACCTCGTCATGGACTGTTTGGCCACAGTTTTTAACCACCGACTCCATGACCTGCAAGGGCCAAGACAACATCAGCCCACAGCTTCCTGCCTCCCCTGCAAGCTGTGGGGGTCCCAGCACACACTGCAGGCTGAGCAGGGGGCAGTATTTAAACTGTGAGCTGTGCTGGGGCCATGCCAATCCACTCCCTGCCCTGGGAGCCAGCTGCCCTTCGCCTCCCTGGGGGCTGGGGGCCTTCTGCTCCGTGGAACCAACCCCAGGGGGAGCAGCCCAAGCCTCAGCTCTGCCTCTTCCAAAGCCAAGACGGAGCTAAAGCATGAAGGCCCTGGCCTGATCACCCCAAAACCTCAGTGCCAGAGCCAGGAAGAGGCTAGCTCCACGCTGGGCTGCAGGGAGCTGTGCAGCCTGAAGGCAGTGGCAGGAAGCCCCTGCCTGCTCCCAGCCAGGTGCAGTTACCTCCAGCGCGTACAGGGCCACGTGGGGATTCTTGTCATTCACCTTCTTCTTGATGGCGTTGACGGCGTATTTCGCCCTGGGCAGGGGAAGAGGGGACACGTTCTCAGGGAGATCCCACCTGCTGCTGACAGCCACCAATCCCCACCGTGCCACAAAGGGCACAGCGAGCTCAGGGGTGCGTGATTCACTGAGTGAAACTGGCAAGGAATAAGCACACACTCCAGCTTGAGTTTCCCTGAGGATTTCAGGCCAGGGGTAATGTACAGCTGCCAGGCTCTGGGAAGCACATCAGGGTGTGCCGTACAGCCCCAGCGATGCTCTCACAGAAGGGTATGATGAGATGCGTGTTACAGGTCCGAGACCCTGGCAGGGTGTCTGTGCTTCCCCGCGCAGCCGGCAGAGCCGTGCCCGCAGCACTTACTGCGTGTCGCCCTGGCGGATCATGTCGCAGATCTGCAGGATGGATTCCCAGTCTGTCTCCAGCAGGAGCTGGCTCGTGGCCTTATCTGCAGTGAACAAACCCGGTGCCGCCGTGAGCCGCGCCGCTCCCGCGGCTCCGCTCCGCCACCGCCGCTCCCGGAGGCTGCGGGCGTGGCGTTGCCCCGAGGCCCGGGGTAAACAAACCCCGATGGCGCCGGGACAGCACCGACCCTCCCGGTACAGGCACCCCAGCGCTCGGTGACCTCCCGGGCGGCACCGGGCTGCGACACCGCCACCTGGCCCGGCCCGGCCCGGCCGTGCCCCGGGGCCGCCCGCTCCCGGGGCCGAGCGCTGCGGACCCCGACCCGCTTCCCTTCCCTTCCCGTCCCGCCGAGGGAGCCGCGCCGGTACCGAGGAGCCGCTCGAAGGTGCCGCCGCCGCGCCCCATGGTATCCGCCCGCCGCCGGCCCGGCCCGCTCGCTCCAGGCCCGGTCCGGTCCGTTCCCCGCCCCGCCGCGGCCTTTCCGCTTCCGGCTTCCGCCGGGGCGGGGCCGCTTCCGCCGGGGCGGGGCCGCTTCCGCCGGGGCGGGGCCGGTGCCGGGGCGGCTCCGCCATGGCCGCGGGCCGCTCCCCGCCCACCTTCCTGCTGCTGGGGGCGGCGGGCGGCGGCAAGAGCCTGCTGGTGCGGCGGCTGCGCCATATCCTGGCCACGGGGCACGGGGCACCGGGAGGGACGGGCCGGGCCGGGCCGGGCTGGGCCGGGCTGGGCTGGCGGGGCCGGGCGGAGCGTGCCCTGGGCCGTTCCCGGAGCCGCCGTGTCCTTAACGCGAGGCACAGCTGAGCGCCGAGCAGCCCGCGGAGCTGGGCGAGCCCCCGGCCACGCTGCCCACGGTAGGTGCGGCCTGGCGGGCCCGGGCGGGCGCGGGGCGGGCGCGGGGCTCGGCCGCAGCCCGCCGTGCCGGTACCGGTGCCCGTCCCGCAGGTGGGCACCAACCTGACGGACCTGCGGCTGCCGCGGAGAGTCACCGTGCGGGAGCTGGGCGGCTGCATGGGCCCCATCTGGCCCAGTTACTACAGCGAGTGCAGCGCTCTCCTGGTGGGTGAGCAGCACCGGGGCCGCGGTCCCGGGGTGCTCCGGGGACACGGGCTCGTGGGCCGGTGCCCCGGTTTCGCCCCGGTGCGGGATCCCCTCCGCCGTGCCCCGCTCTGGCCCGGCCCGGCCCGGGTTGCTCCCGGCACCGCCGCTCCCCGCTTTCCCTGTTCCCTGCAGTTCGTGGTGGACGCCTCCAACCCCACGCAGCTCTCCTCGTCCTGCATCCAGCTGCTGTCGGTGCTCTCCGCCGCGCCGCTTTCCTCCGTGCCCGTCCTGGTGCTCTTCAACAAGATGTGAGGAGGAGCCCAGCGGGGGTGCCGGGAGCGGGCTGTGCTCTGCTGCTCTTCCCGGGCTGGGGAGCGTTCCCAGCGGGGCTGGAGAGCGCTCAGCCGGGGCTGGCCGGCACGGGAGCCTCGTGCTGGGCTGATGCTGCAGCTCCCGTCTCCCCGCTGCAGTGACCTGCCCTGCTACATGTCGCTGGTGGAGATGAAGTCGCTGCTCCGCATGCAGGACATGGTGGCCTGTGCCACGCAGCCCATCACCATGCTGGAGACCAGCGCCCGCGACGGCACCGGGCTGGCCGAGGTGCTGCAGTGGCTCCGGAGCACCCTCCGAGAGCCCTGCTGAGCCCAGCCGGCCGCCCGGGACGCTCCTGCTGCAAGGGGAAATGGCCGAGGAGCAGCTGCCCTGCCTGGACGGCGCCTTGGGCTGCTGATGGACTGCATCCCTGTGGGACTTCACAGTAAAACCTCCACCACGCTGTCCAGGCTGGTGCCTGCCTTGTGCTCGGGGGGAAATCCTGGGCTTTCAGGGAAGGGACAGGCAGCAGCCACAGAGGCCAGACTGTGCTGGCAGCTCCAGGCACAGGAGGGGTTCCTGCAGCAGCAGCTGAGCTGAGCTAAGCACGGCAGGGGTGGGAAAGGGCCTCGGGTTTAGAACTGAGTGCACGGGGGCTCCAGCCAGCAGCTCTTGCCATGTGAGCCCCATGCCAGCCCCGGCACAGTGGGGTGACCCTGGGGAAGGCCTGGGTGACGTGCTGGGTGTCAGGAGCTAGGGCAAGGCCAGTGACAGGGGTGCTTCAGTAGGGATGTCTCACAAGCTGCAGCAAGTGCCAGCCCACAGCTGCTCTCCAGCGCTCACCTGGGCTCAGCAGTTTCAGAAGGGGTCACACTGGAAGGGATCACCCTGGCTCATCTGGTCAAGCAGGGTCATGCCAGAGGACATGGCACAGGATTGCATCCAGGCAGTTCTGGACTATCTCCAGTGAGGAAGGCACCACACCTTCTCTGGGCAATCTGCTCCGGTGTGCTGTCACTGGCACAGGCAAGTTCTAACAGAGTACCATAGAATATTGGAGGGGACACATCGAGATCATGTTCAGGTGGAACTTCCTGTGCATCAGTTTCTGCCTGTTGCTGCTTGTCCCACTGCTGGGCACCGTGGAGCAGAGCCTGGGCCATCCCCTGACACCGCCCTGCTGACAGAGGATGAAGTGCCCTGTCAGCTCTCTCAAGGCTGATCAGGCCCCGTGCCTGTTCTCATTAGAGGTGCTTCCATCCCTTCATCATCTCTAGCCTCTGCCGGGCCTGCTCCAGGAGTTCATGTCCTTCCTGTCCTGAGGAGCCCCGAAGTGGACACAGCGCTCCAGCTGCAGGCTCAGCAGAGGGGCAGGATCATTGTGAGCAATGCTGTTCCTGATGCACCCAGAAGAGCTGGGGCTGTGTAGAGACCCTGCCCTGTGCCCACACCACCAAGCACTGTCTATCCATGCAGATAACACCCTGTGCCCTCAATGGTGGCAGCTGCCTCAGCTGGCAGCCCCGGTGCCAAGCCTGGCACTGGTGGCTGCCCGTGCCTGGCACAGCACAGCACAGCCTGCCAGGGCCTGTCAGCGCTGTGGCACCGGGGCAGCTCCATCCCAGGCATGTCAGGGAGTGGCTCCTGGGGCTGGGGGCTGCAGCTGCTGCACCGTGATGGGGAGCGGCAAGGGGGTGGCAGCGCCCTTCACTCCAGCAGCGTGGCCTCTGCCCCAGGCACTCCAAGGGAATGCAGGCTGTGCCAAGGAGCCCGAGCACAGCCTGACACTGCTGCTGAGTCACCACCAGCAGCAGCACTGACACCAGCCCTGCCCGCTTCCAGCCCGACAGGTGCAGACACCAGCCCGAGCACTCCTGCACAGCAGCACTTTAATTGGGCCCGCAGAGCCCTGCCCAGCCCAGCCCTCGGCAGCACGGAGGTTCCTCCAGGTCTGGGGGTGGCCCAGTGACCTCGTTTGTGGGGCTGCAGTCAGCCTGCTGCTGTCCTGGTGAGCCAGACACTGGGCTGGAGCTGCCCCATGCCTGCTGCCCCTAGGCAGGTGAAGGTGGTTGTGGAGAAAGCTCATGGTCCCCAGAGGATTCTGAGAACAGCCAGGGCACGCTGGCAGGAGGGAGAGCTGAAGGGCAGTTCTCTGCAAGTCGAGAGCCCCACGGAGCAGGGCTGTGAGGTGAGGCAGTCCTGCTGTGCCCTGGGGTGTGTAGGCAGGCTGGGTCCCGTGCCTGCTGCATCCCAGCAGCTCCAGGCAGCAGGAGCTCCTGCATCCCTGGGATGCAGCACTCCCAATGACACCTCCCAATGGGTCCTTGGCCATGGCAAGAGGAGGATCTTCCCCAGCACTCCATGGTCCCCCAGCTTCCAGCGCTGTGTTGTGATGCTCAGATTCAGTCCCAGCTGCAAGCAGAGTCTGTTCCATCCCATTCCTTCCTGTGGACACCAAGAGGGCAGAGTCCCTAAGATCCTGGGACCCTGTCCCAGACCTGCCTCCATTCTCTTCCCTGTCTCTGGGCCTCAGTAACACAAAGGCATCCCTCGGGACAGGCAGTGTGCCCATGGCTGAGCTCTGGCTGCCTCCAGCCCCTGCCCACTGCCCTTCCTGCTGGCCTCACCTGGCACTCAGGAGCGCCTGCCTCTGTACGTGTACACGGAGCGGAGCTTCTCCATGAGGAACAGCTTATCCTTCCCTTCCTGCAACATCAGAGACGGCACCGGGGTGGCTGAGTGCCTGCCCTGCTGGGGCCAGAGCCCACACTGGCAGTGCTGGGGCTGCAGCGGGGACGGGCAGGGCAGTGCTCACGTTGGCAATCTGCTCCTGCAGCAGGCAGATGACCTTCTGGCGGCCTCTCACCACCTGGATGTTGAAGTAGATCACAGCTCTGTAATGACAGCAGGGTGGGATGGTGGCATCAGGCAGGAGGCTGAGGGACGCTGCTCCTGGCACTGGGATGGGGCACAGGGCTCTGGAGTGACACCTTGGCTCCAGCCCGCTCAGGGCTGTGACAGCCGGACCCTCAAAGGGAGAGCCTGGGGTTCAGCTTTGGCTCGGGTCCATACTCACATCAGGGCCACAGACATGAAGAACAGTAGGCATGTGTTCTCCAGCAGGTGCTGGTAGACCCAGGCAAACCAGGTGATGTTGGGGTTGGACTGCTCCAGCACTAGCACCCACCTCTTCCCTGACTTGTAGATGGTTTCCAGCCCCCGGAAGGGGCCGCAGGTTTCTGATGGCTGCACCCTGAGCAAACAGACCAACAGGGTGTTCAGAGCAACGGGCAGCTGTAACTGCTGTTAAAGCAACTGCTGCCCCCAGAGCAGGGCACTGCCTGTCTCAGCAGTCCAGCCCTCCAGGGACCCAGCCTCACTGTCCCCAGCACCCCCAGGGCTGGACACGGGGGTCCTCATCCCTGCCCCTGCACCAGGAGCAGCTGCAGGACGCGAGCGGGGCCAGCAGCAGGGAGGGAGGCACCTGCCCTGCCTGGGGCAGCCCCTCACAGCCCGCAGCTGGGCAGTGCCAGGGACAGGGGCCACGCTCTCCGCAGCCCTCCTTCTCCAGGCAGCCGGGCTCCGTGCCCCGGGCCGTGCCTGGTGGCTACTCACGACCAGACGGTGTAGGAGAGGAAGGCAGCTGCACCCAGGAAGGAGGGGAAGCACAGCAGAGTGATGAACACGGTGCTCATGCGTGAGGCCTGCCAGGGCTTGCTGGGGGACTGGCAGTTCCGCAGCAGGCTGGCCTGTGGGAGGGAGCAGCGTCCCGTGGCTGCCAGCTCCTGAGAGCTGTGCCCTCCCTGCTGCCCGTGGGGAGCCGGCCCATGAGCTCGGGCCGTGCTGTCCCCAGGGGCTGCGCTCAGCCCCACAGGGACGAGGCTGCAGCACCGGCTGACAGGGCACAGTGCCACCGCAGGGACTTGCAGGGGGTGGGGATCACACCTTTTTGATATAGAACAGCAGCAGCAGCTTCAGCATCTGCACAGCTGGCAGGAGCGGAGCGAAGAGAACGCCCAGCCTGGGAGCAGGGGAAAGATGAGCTTGCCTGGGTCTGAGTCCCAGGGGACGCAGTGGTGGGCCCAGCCACAGCACCCACAGGGCCCCTGGGAACCACAAGGCATTTGCCAGCAGAGGAAGGAGCCACGCCAGGCAGAAACGTCTCACCAGGTCAGGGTCTGCCCATAGATCAGCTCCAGCACATTTCGGGCGATGTCAAACTCCGGCCTCTGCTTTGTCTTCAGCCTCTTCTCCAGAATCAGCCTGGGTGGAAATGAACTCTGCCCCACGCTGCCTGGGGGCACTTCACACCCCACCTTCCCTCTCTGATGGCAGCAGAGCCTGGGTGCACCAGAGAGCTGGGGCCACGCAGGGGTGGCACATGGGGGGGACATGTCTTGGGGTTTGTCACCTCCAGATGAGCTCCCCGAAGAGCGTGTCCAGCAGGGTGAAAATGAAATCCATCACCATGAAGCGATACAGCTCCTGCCCCACACACGTCTCCCAGCACTGGGGAGACAATCAAGCATGGCATAGAATCACAGACTGGTTTGGGCTGGGAGGATCCCTAAAGCTCATCTCTCTCCCCACCCTGCCATGGGCAGAGACACCCTTCCACTAGACCAGGTTGCTCCGAGTCCTGCCCAACCTGGCCTTTTACAGTTCCTGGGATGGGGCACCCACAGCCTCTCTGGGAACCTATGCCAGAGCCTCACCACCCTCACAGGGAAGAATTCCTTCCTGATATCTGACAGGGAAGATGCCACCAGCTCCTTGTGGCCCCGGGGCAGTGGTGCTCACCTCCTCTGTCGAGCAGATAACGCTCCGGCTGAGCCAGTGGTAGCACAGCAGGCTGAGAATCACCACCTTCAGGATGAGGTTCCTGGGGAGCAGGAGCAGTGCCAGAAGTCCCTGAGCCCAGGGGACGGAGGGGCCAAACCCCACAGATGGGGTGCCTGGCCCCAAAGCCTCCTTGCCTGCCTCAGGTGCAGGACGCTCCCTCCACCAGAGCCCAGCCAGCCCACCTGAAGATGGCCACGGAGACCTGTGTCACTGGGGAGTCCTGCTTCTCCCACATGGCCAGCAGGTTGAACAGGTGGGGCATCAAGGCATTGAGGAGGGACACCACAAGGGGCAGGACCAGCAGAGCGGCTTCTTGCTGCCATCTGCCACTGCCCTGTGCTTGCTGCTCCTGCTGAACCTGGTGAGCAGGAACTGGCTGAGCGCACAGCTGTTGGCAGCCAGCTGTGGCGTCCTGGGGAGAGCAGCAGATGCCCAGGCCAGGAGCAGAGCTGCAAGGGGCTGTCCCTGCCCCTCTCCCCAGTACCCCAGCCCTGTTCCTGCAAGGCCAGGGCAGGGATCCCGGGTGAGAGGGGGCACTCACTGTGTGCATGTGCTCCAAGAGGTAGCGCACAGCCAGCACGCAGCCCGACGCCCAGCCCAGCGCCAGCAGCCAGGCCAGCAGCACCACCAGGCCGTGCCGCAGGCGCTGGCAGCGGCTCTGGGAGCGGCAGCGGGAGCGGCGCTCCGCCAGCAGCTCCTGCGAGAGAGCAGAGCAGAGCTGCCAAATCCCCCGCGGGTCTGGAGCGGGGCTGTGTCCCCCTGCAGCACAGCGGGACCCAGAGGGGTGACGGACAAAGCACAGCAAGGCTGGGCTCCGGGGTGCTTTGCTCCTCCACCTTCAGCTGGGTGCAGATGTTCTCGCACTGCAGCTTCACCGAGCGCCTCTGGATCACCTTGAAGTCCCAGGCACAGAAGACCTTGATGGCCAAGTCCCCTGTGGCGCTCTTCACGCTCTCCCGAAAGGAGCAGGACACGCTGCAGCGAGGTGAAGGGCATCAGGGATGGGGGCTGGCTGAAGGGGAAGGCTGCAGTGCCACAGCTGCCCCTGACCCACCTGTACACCAGCAGGATGCAGGTGACAAGGAAGGAGGCCCCGACACTGAACAGGTAGGCCAGTGGCAGGTTGTAGGGGAGCAGGGGGGCTGGCAGGGGGCACACGCTGCCCTCAGGAGTGGAGGTGCAGGGGTCGTTCAGGGTGGCGTTGCTGTAGTAGCCGTAGTACAGCAGCGAGTGAGTGAAGCGGCCCTGTGGGAAAGCACACGAGGGGCCCGCGGTGACCTTGGCAGTGCTCACAGCTTCCTGCCCACTGAGTGCCAGCCTCAGGACACAGAGCCTTGGGCTGGGGCAGCCCCACCCTGTGCACCCACTGCACTGCCGGTCCCGGGGCCCAGGCTGGGCAAGGGCAAGAGCTGGGGTATCATTACAGTGGAAAAGCAGGGCTGCCCGCCAGGCTTGGCACAGCCTGGGGTGCCTGGGCCACGCTTACCGCTCCTGTGAGCAGCTCCAGCCCAGTGAAGCGCTGGGGGCTCACTGATGCAGCGGGGTACACGGCCTGCAGGACCACCACGAAGGCCAGCAGGATGAAGAATGAACAGAAGTTCAACATAAGGAGTGTCTTGAGGAAGAGGAAGTAGGACAGGACACTGGAGCCAAAGCGGCCACCAATCTGCTTCAGGGCATAGTGCCCGGGCTGTGCAGCGCGGAGCAGGGACAGGAGCCTGTACCAGAGACCTCGGCAGCCCTGGGGAGAGGAACAAGGGAGAGCAGTGGGGCTGGAGCCGGCACGGAGCCCTCCAGCCTCTGTGCAGAGCCGTGCCTGACTTACGAGGCCGACGCAGACCCTGGACCACGCGCAGGGTGAGAAGGGGTCCCAGCGCCGGGCGCGCTGCCTCACGGGGCCCCTCTGCCCGCTCAGCTGCCGCCTGCCAGGAAAGAGGGGGTCAGGGGTCCCACAGGGCCCGGGACAGCTCCGGCTGGGGGAGCCCTGCCCAGCGGGCGCTGAGGGAAGCGGCCCTACCGGAGGATGCGTTTCTCCGCCAGGCTGAGGGGCATGGTGAGCAGCATGTGGCTGCACTGGCTGGGCGAGAGGCTCAGCAGCTCCTTCACCAGCAGGCACCGCTTCTCTGGGGCACAAGGGCTCGGTGGGACACGGCCCGCCGGCTCACGGCCTGCCCGTCCCTAGGCCAGCACGGGGACAGCGCCAGCCCTCCTTTCGCGGTCCGGGCACCCTCACCTTGCAGCGTGGCCCTGCTGAGGTCGCTCTCCAGGTCGTAGTGGCGCAGGCTGGGCCGCGCCGTGCGGCAGAGCTGCTGCAGGGGCGGGCGGACGCTCCGGCGCCGCAGCCGCGCCGTGCGGTTGCAGTACTGCGAGATGATGGCCCCGAGGCTGCGTCCTGCGGGCCACAGCAGGGCTCGGGCAGAGCTCCGAGGGCTCTGGAGCTGGGGAAGGGGGGATGTGGGTGGCACCTACCGATGGTGCGGCTGGGCATGCTGGCCAAGATCTGCAGGGAGGCAGAGGAGTGGCTGGGGTGCTCCTCATCTTGCCTGGGCTCTGGCCAGGCCATGGCACAGGCGTCTGGAACAGCCAGGTAGGCTGGGGACTCTGGGAGGGAGACGGCAGGATGCAGAGAGGCCACGGCTCATCCCTGCTGCTCTGCTCCAGCACACAGGCCAGGTGTGTGCTCCTCCCAGAGCACCCCTTTCTGCAGGGACGCTTTCTGTGTCCCCAAGGTCTCCCCTGGATTGCCCTGCTCTGCTCTGCCAAGGCATTAGCAGGCTCCCGTGAATGCTTTGGCCCCAGCATTTTGGCACAGCTGGCCCAAGCAGAGGGAGAGCCCTGGGCACACACACTGTCCCCAGCCTGCCCTGGCTGAGGCTGCAGTGCTTTACCTCTGGTCCTCTCCTGCATCTCCAGCTCCAGACCTGCCTCGATCAAGCTGCTCTGCTCCAGGATGAGCTGGTGGAACGAGGTGTGCAGGGCTCTCTCGTTGTCCGGACTGGGCTCCTGGCTGAAGGAACACAGGGACACGGTGGCACGGACACCTGGAGCCTGCAGGGCGCGGGGCCGTAGCCCATCGTACCTGGGCACGGCAGGGCAGCGGGGAAGTCACACTCACCCATCGCTCTCGGAGCCCTCGGGGACGTGCAGGGTGATGGAGGGCGGCTGGGACATCCTGCGAGGCCGGGCGGGTCCGTCCTGCCCGGGCCCTGCCGGGGTGAGCAGCCCCGCTTACCGCCGCTCCCCGGTTTCCGCTACCCCCCGGTTCCCGCTGCCCCCCGCTTACCGCCGCTCCCTGCCGCTGCGGGACGGAGCCGGAGCCGGAGCCGCGGCGTGCGGGCCGGGGGCAGCCGGAGCGCGGAGTCCGCGGGGCTGAGCTGGGACTAACCCCGGCTCCAGCCCGGCCTCAGGAAGGAAGAGAGGGCGGATGGGGCGGTTCCGCGGCCGAGAGGTTCCGCCCGCCGTCCGGGACCCTTCGGCTCGGGCACGAAGCCCCGAGCACCAGTCCCGGAGCTCGGCTCGGGACGGGCCCGGACCGGCCCTGAGAGGTCCCGTCGGAGCAAAGACCCCCGTGCCCCCACCGTGCTCCCCGCCCGGTGCCGTCTCCCTCCTCCCCTACTCTCCCTCTGCGCCCCGGGGCGGGCTAAGGCTGCTCGGCGCCGGTGGCCGCTCGCCCCGGTACCGGGCACCGACGGGACGCCCCCCGGCGCTCCCGCCGCCCGGGCCGGGGGTGCGGACCTGCGGGGAACGGGGGCTGCCGAGCCCTGTCCGTCCCGTCCCGTCCTTCTTGCCGCCTCCCGGTGCCGGGCGGGGGCGGCGGGAGCCCCCCGAAGCCCCCGTTTCCCCTCGGCTGTGCTCACCGGGGTCCGGCGGCGGCCGAGGGTGGGGCCGGCGCTCCCGTCCCCCGTTACACCGGGGCGGAAGGAGGGCACCGGGACAGGGTGCGGGACGGGCGCGGCGCTGAGCGCCCGGGCGGGGGAGCCCCTGTCCCGCCGGAGCCGGCCCGGCCGCCCCGCCCCGGCGTCCCGGGCCGCCAGGACCGGCCCTCCCGGGGCGGTGCCGCGCAGCAGCCGCGGCCGAACGCCATGGAGGGCGGCGGAGGCGCCTACGGGGCGGCCAAGGCCGGCGGTGCCTTCGACCTGGTGCGCTTCGTGCAGCAGCCGCAGGTGGTGGCGCGGATCGTCAGCGCGGTGAGTCGGGACGGACGGGACCGGACGGGACGGGAGAGCCCCGCCGCAGGCCGGCGCCCCTCGCCCAGCGGGCCCGGCAGCCCCCAAAGGGCTCCCCCGGTCTCGGTGCCGCCCACCGGACACCGGCTCCGCCCCGCAGGTCTTCGCCCTGATCGTGTTCGCCTGCCTGGTCGGGGACGGCTACATGAGCCGGCCCGAGGACCCGCAGCTCTTCTGCATCTTCAACCACAACGAGGACGCCTGTCGCTACGGCATCGGCATCGGCGTCCTCGCCTTCCTCGCCTGCATCTTCTTCTTCATGGTGGACGTCTATTTCCCCCAGATCAGCAACGCTACGGACCGCAAGTACCTGGTCCTGGCCGACCTCGGCTTCTCAGGTACCGGGGGCAGCGCGGGCCGGGCTGTGCCACAATGGCCGCCTTGTCCCGTGACGTGGCTGCCGGTGCCTGGCCCAGGGAGCCGCTCCCGAGTCGCTGCCGTCTGGCGTGCTGCCCGCGGGCCGCGCGCTGCTGCTGCTGCTAATGCTGCTGCTGGTGGTGCTGCTGCTGGTACTGCTGCTGGTGCTGCTGCTGCTGGTACTGCTGCTGCTGGTGCTGCTGCTGGTGCTGCTGCTGCTGGTAATGCTGCTACTAATGCTGCTGGTGCTGCTGGTGCTACTGCTCTTGCTGCTGGTACTGCTGCTGGTGCTGCTGCCGCTGGTACTGCTGCTAATGCTGGTACAGCTGCTGGTGCTGCTGCTGCTGGTGCTGCCACTGAGTGCCCCGAGGAGCGGCTGCCCCTGGCCGGGTGCCTGCGCCAGCCTGCACGGTGGAGCAGGGTCTGGGCGCGGGGCTGCCCAGGAGCAGCAGGACCGGCCCTGGCCCCTCATGCCACTTCCCCCCACAGGTCTCTGGACCTTCCTGTGGTTCATCGGCTTCTGTTTCTTGACCAACCAGTGGTCCTGGACACGGGCCGAGGATGTGTTCCTTGGAGCAGACTCTGCCCGCGCTGCCATCACCTTCAGCTTCTTCTCCATCTTCTCCTGGGTGAGTGAACCCCTCTGCCCCGCCTGGGGGGAGTGCAGAGGGGCCCCCTGCACTCACAGCCTGGAACGGCCTTGATGCTGCTCCCCTTCTCTCTGCAGGCGCTCCTGCTCACCTTCGCTTACAAGAGGTACAAAATGGGGGTGGAGGACTTTGCTCAAAGCTACGCCGACCCCAGCCCGGGGGTTCCGACTCCGTACTCCAGCTACCCCAACATCAGCCACGAGAGCTACCAGCAGCCGCCCTTCACGCACACGGCGGAGGCCCCGGAGGGCTACCAGCCTCCCCCGGTGTACTGAGCCCGGCTGGCTCCCGCGGGACGGCTGAACAGTGCAATTCCTAACGCGGGGTGGGAGGGAGGGGTCTGTGCCTTGGAGGGGACGGCGGGGCGGGAGGGTGGTGGCTGCTTTGTTTGAAGGTGACTGGGCCTTTTCATGGGGTGCAGGAGGGGCTTCTGCCTGGTCCCAGAGCTGAGATCCTCACTGGAGGATCCAGAGCCCGGTGTGTGATTTGGTGGGTGATTTGGCACGCTGTGATTTGCAGCTGCTGGTGAGCAGTGCAGCTGCAGGAGGTTGGGTGTGCAGGCAGCCCTGGCACGTACAAGCCTCTGCTTTTGCTGTGCTGCCTTGGTGGTGGGCTGCAGTTTAGGCTCCCGGCCCTGGCGAGGCTCTGCCCCTGTGACTGTGCCCTGGCCCGTCCTGTCTGCAGTGCCTTTCAGCCCTGCTGGCTGCATTCCCCCAGAGCCATCTCTCGCTGCTGCAGCGCAGCCAGGCCCAGCTCTGCCTTCCCCTGCGGCCGCTTCTGGGCCAGCTCTTGCCAAAGCCCCCTCTGCCCTTCTCTAACGCCGTGCTGTGCCTTCCCCAGCCTGCACTGGAGCTGCTGGTGCTTGGATGATGTGCCTTGGGCTCTGTGGGAGCGGTGAGCACCGAGATCCTCAGCAGGGCCGTGGCTGAGGACATCCTGGAGCACTTTCTTTCCCTGCTGTGCCTGCCCGAGCGCTGCTGCGAGCCCGAGCTCCTGCGGCCTGCCCGCACTCCAGCCACACCAGGAGCCCGTGGGCCTTTCTCAGGTTGTGTTTGCTGCTGTGCTGTGGTAAAGCTGTTCCCAGCAGCCGTGCGTGTGGGCCATCCCTGCTGGGGGCAGCGTTTGAGTAGTTGTCACTGTAGGTCGGAATAAACTTTTTCACCAAGCCACCCTGTGAGCCACCACGTGCCTTTTCAGGGAAGGGGAAGCAGAAATGCAGTTTCTCAGGGGAAGCAGAAAAGGCTCCTGCAGTCCTTCTGCCCCTGCAGGGCTTGGGGCGTCAGTGGGGCAGCGCAGCCCCTCCAGCTGCTGCGCTGCAAACAGCACACTCATGCTGGTGCCTATTTTTAGGCCACCCTCGTCATGCTCCAGCCCCAGCCTGTGAGCAGCCCCTGCTGTCTCACTGGGCATTGCCAGGAAGCCTTAGCAGAATGCTCTGGTAAAAAATACACACACAAATTAATTAAGTTATTTATTAACTTAAAGCAGCAGCGCCTTACTCCAGCCCTGGGGAGAAGCCCAGCCTGGCAGTCAAGTGCTCGTGAACACAGTAATTCTCACCTGAAGCGTGGGGGCAGCAGGGGGGCTCAGGCAGCTCTTGGAGCCTTGCAGGGCACAGGCAAACAGCAGCCCTGGACTCAGAGATGCAGAGGTCTGGCCTGGCCAGAACAAAGAGCTACTGCTCAGAGCCTGTGGGTGCTGGGAAAAAACACTTCCAGGGAAAAAACGCTTTTGCAGACAATAAGGAAACAACAACCTTCCAGAATCTGAGTCTAACAAAGAGGCAAGAGGATCCTGCTTAGAGCAGACCAAGAGTCAGCCTCAAGGATTTTGGAAGGCTGAGGAGAAAGCAAGAGACATGACTGGACTGGAGAAGCAGCTCCTCAGAAGAGCCCCTTTACAAAGCAGCTGGATCTTCCCTGGAATAATTGTCCAGATCTTGGTAGATGAAACTCTGGGCCTCCAAACCCCTGAGAGGAAACACAGCACCAAAGAGGCAGCACCAGCCTTGAACCTGAGAAAAACTGCCCTGAATTTGGAGGAAGCTCTTCCTGGGACCAGTTCCTCCAAACGAGTCTGTCACAGCCTGCTAGAACACAGCCAGCCCTCGAGGCTCAGCACCTCAGCAGAGTCAGCTGCCAGGCCTCCTTCTGTTTCAGCAATAACTGACAGCAGTGGGCAGGCTGGCAGAGAGGCTGGGGCTGCCCAGGGCTGGGCTGACGCGTGTGTCAGTTTAAAAGCTGTGTCACAGCTCCGTGACAAGGGACAAGTTACCTCAGACTGCTAAGGAAGGAAGTTAAAAATTGCATTAAAAATACTAATGGCTGTTCAATGTCTTGAGAAACCTCGAATGTAGCAACAGTGCACAAGGGCTGCATTCACAGGCAGCAGAAGCAGCATGGTGTCAGCCTGAGCCCGCGTGGAGCCCTGTGAGAGCTGGCCAGAGGCACAGCGAGCAGCAGTGCTGCAGCCTGGCTCCCCAGGGCCTGTGTGTGGCAGCACCAGTGACTGTGCCGGTCTCTCTCCTTGTTCTGAGATGGGAACTCACTCTAGCCAGGCTTTTGCTTCAGCTTCCGCCAGCATCAGGCCTGAAGGATCCTCACTTGTGCTGCTTGGTGGGGAGGGCCGGACAGTTTGTTAAAGTACAGAGGGGCCCGTGCGCCACAGCACTGAGCTCCCTTGCCCTCCGTTTTCGCAGCAGTCAAGTGAAGATCTTGCGAGGGGCAGCCGTCTCCAGCTGCCTCAGGCCCAGGGGCACGTTCTCCTTGTTGTCTGGCCCGGGCTGCTGGGGCCGCGCACGGAAGTAGCAGGCTCGGCACACCGAGTGGTACTTGTCAGCGCCTCCGATCACTTCCACCTGGCAGGGAAATGCGGGAGTGGCTGCAGAGTGAGCCCGGCTCCCGGAGGGAGTCTCTGTACCAGCGGGACCGCGAAAGTGAAACAGTTTCTGTTCCAAGGGCACTCACCTCCCGCTCTGCTCCCAGCCTCTTGGTGTAGGAGGCCTCTCGGAAGCACTCCATGCACACAGCGTTCAGCTTCACCACGCTCTCCGCCAGCGGCACCAGGTTCAGGATGCTCCCAAAGGCCTGTGAGACAGCATGGAAGGTGCTGCTGGGTGGACTCCACGAGGGTCCCAAAGCAGCTAAGGTACCAAAATGGGTGTTTTACCTTCCTCTGGAAGGTGCCATCCAGAGCAGCAACAATGACGGTTTTCCCAGTGTTGGCCATTTTCTCACAGAACTCCACAATGTCTGGGAACTGGAGGGGTACAGGACATTGTAAAGAAAGATGGGGGCAGCACTTGGCTCCAGATCCCACAGTGCGTGCCCAGACAGCAGCACCAGGAACAAAGAAAGAGCCACGTGCCCTGTCCGTGAAACGGGCTGCAGTCCCACCGTGCTGTCTGCAGGGACTACAGGGAAGGAGGCTTTGATTGAGAGCACTTTGACTGCAAGGCCACACGGATCAAACCCCCCAGGGCATGACCTCCCACCCTCTCCTACAAGGACACAGAGCCTGCACAGGAGCAGCGAGCAGCGTGTGTCCCGCGGAGCCCAGCACACCCAGCCCGGCCGTGCACTTACGAACTGGCCCTCATCGATGCCGATGACGGCGGCCCCCAGCGCCTCCTGGTACACGTCGTGGAGGAGCCCGGCGGGCAGGGCCTCCATGGTGCTCCTGCGGGCAGGGAGGGAGTGAGCCGGGCAGGCGGGCAGCCCCGTGAAGCGGGGAGCCCTCCTGCCCGGAGCTCACCTGTCGTGTGTGCAGACCCCGGAGGAGCTGTAGCGCGTGTCCTTGGCGTACTTCACCAGCAGGCACCGGTACTGGGCGAGCTGGAAGCGCCGCACTCGCCGCATGAGCTCCGTGCTGCAAGACACGGTGTCAGCGGCCCCCAGCCCCAGCCCGCCGCCCTCCCGCCTGCGCCCCCCGCTCCGTGCCTACCTCTTCCCGGAGAACATGGGCCCGAAGATCACCTGGGGGCGGAACGGTGCGCTCAGAACGGCGGCCAGCGGGCAGACCCGGCTGCACCCCGCCGGGGCCCGGCAGCCCCCTCAGCCCGGCGCGGCGCCCACACCTGCCCACGGCCCGTGCGCGGGCCTCCAGCAGTACCGTGCCCGTATCTGCCCCCGGCCCGTGCGCGGGGCTCTGGGGCAGTAGCGTGCTCGTATCTGCCCCCGGCCCGTGCTCGTATCTGCCCCCGGCCCGTGCCCGTATCTGCCCCCGGCCCGTGCTCGGGGCAGTACTGTGCCCGTATCTGCCCCCATCCCGATGCCCGGCAGCGTTGCCGTACCCGTATCTGCTCCCACACCGGTGCCCCGAGGTGGCACCTGTACCTACCCCCCGCCCGTGCCCCGGGGCGGGCCCGTACCTGAATCTGCCCGCGGGGCCGGCTGGGGGAGCCGGGGTGGACACCGGGCACCGTCAGGCAGTTCATGGCGGACTGCCGGTCCGAGCCCGCGCGCGCCGAGCCGGCCGGGCCCGTCAGCCAATCGGAGGAGGCCTCTCCCCCACGCGCCGCAGCGCCAGCCAATCGCGAAAGAGTCTGCACGGCCGCGCGGCAACCCTGCCCAATGGGGGTCATGGGCGCCAAAATTTTTATTTTCCTCGGCCCGTAGGCTCCGCCCTCCCGGCCCCGAGCGACCAATGGGAGACGGCTCCGCCGCCGGCTCTGGCCTCGCCTCCGTGATCTGGCCCCGCCCCCGGGCTCGGGCCTCGCCTCCGGGACAGCCAATGGGAACGCGCCCTCCAGCCCGCCCCCCCTCAGGCCCCGCCCCTCGGCGGGCGGGCGGCCCGGGAACGGCACCGGGACTGGGACCGGGGACGGCACCGGGATCGGGACGGGGAGCTTCACCAGGAACGGGACCGGGATCGGGAGGGGGACAGACACCGGGAGCGACACCGGGAGCGGCCCCACGATGGGCGGGTGGCGGGACATGTCCGCGGAGGTACGGCCCCGGGGCAGGGCAGAGCGCGGGTCCGCTCCGGGCCGCCGGCCGGGGGTGCTGGCGCTGCCCCGCCGCTGCCCCGCCGCTGCCCCGCCGCCTCCCCGCAGGCGCTGGAGGACCACTACTCCCCCAGTCGCTGGTCCCCCCGCCTGGACCGGGACACCATCATCGACGCGCACCTGGCGGTGACGGCGGCAGGTGGGGATCGCGGCACCGGGACCGGGGCTGCGCTCGGTGCCACGGCGCCGTGCCCCACCGCCTTCCCCCGCAGGAACCGAGCGGGCCCGGGCCAGCGGGCAGACCCTGCTGCACGTCCCCTACGGCGACGGGGACCGGGAGAAGCTGGACATCTACTTTCCCACGGAGCCTTCCGAAGGTGAGTGTCGGGGCGGCGGGGCCGGGAGCGGGAGCGGGCCGGGCGGACACCCGGCTCACCCCGCTGTGCTGCGCAGCCTTCCCGGCGCTGGTCTACATCCACGGCGGGTACTGGCAGTGCCTGAGGTGAGCCGGGCTGCCGGGATGGGCTCCTCGCGAAGGGACCCCTCACCGACTCCGGCCGACCCCTTCTCCCGACACCGGAGCTTGCTGCGGGGACACGGTCTGGCCGGTCCCCGGCGGCCCCGCAGCTCCTGCAGCATCTCTCTCCGCAGTAAGGACGACTCGGGGTTTGCAGCCCCGCCGCTGGTGTCGCAGGGGGTGGCGGTGGTGGCGGTGGGCTATGACATCGCCCCCAAGGGTAGGTGCTGCCCTGCAGAGGCTCCGGCTGCCTGCGCAGCCAGCGCCTGCAGCCCTGCCCTTTGTCCTCTGCTCAGGCCGCATGGACACCATGGTGCTGCAGGTGCGCCGCAGCCTCGCCTTCCTGGTGCAGCACTACCCCGGGATCAGGTGGGCAGCGCTACCCCGGGATCAGGTGGGCAGCGCTACCCCAGGATCAGGTGGGCAGCGCTACCCCGGGATCAGGTGGGCAGCGCTACCCCGGGATCAGGTGGGCAGCTCCCGGGCCGGGGCTGCTCCGTGGGAGCGGTCGGGGGGCTTCGGCACCTCGGCCCGAGCGCTGGGCAGCGCCTGCGGCCACAATCCCATCGCTGCACAAGGCAGCGGCTGGCGGATCGGGAAACGTCTGAGCTGACACATTCGGGCTGTGCCACCTCCTCTGCACGGGGCAAAGCGTGCCCAGCTGTCCCCGGCTGTCCCCAGCTGTCCCCAGGTGTCCCTCTCAGCCACTCCCTCCTTCCAGGGGCATTTACCTGTGCGGACACTCGGCAGGGGCCCACCTGGCGGCCATGGTGCTGTCCACAGACTGGACGGAATTCCAAGTGGTGCCAGATATCAAAGGTAGCGTTGCCACGTCCCAGAACAGGGTCGGGAGGAGAACAGGTCTCCACGGCTGGGACAAGGCTGCGGGGCTGATTATGCTCAATATGAGGTCTCGGGGCTGTGGGAGCACCCAGGCTGCAGCTCCTCACCTGCAGCTCTTCCTCTGCCCCAGGAGCCGTGCTGGTGAGCGGCCTGTATGACCTGGAGCCCATCCTGCACACCTACGTGAACGATGCTCTGAGCATGAGCCGGTGAGCCCACAGGCCATGGGACAGAGCACGGGCAGGGCGCCGGTGGCTCTGCAGCCCCTCTGCCCCTGGGCCTGCCCGGCTGGGCAGCCCAGCTGATGGCACAGAGGGCTGCATCAGCTCCACGGCATGGCTCCTGCAGGGAGGAGGCCCAGAGGAACAGCCCCGTGAGACTCGTCACCCCAGCAGTGCCACCAGCCTGTGAGGTGCTCGTGGCTATGGCCCAGCACGACTCCCCAGAATTTCGCAGGCAGTCCCAGGAGTACAGCCAGGTGAGCACCAGGTGGTGGCAGGACTAAAGCCAGGTGAGCACCAGGCAGTCCCAGCACAGCCAGGTGAGCACCAGGCAGTCCCAGGACTGAAGCCAGGTGAGCACCAGGCAGTCCCAGCACAGCCAGGTGAGCACCAGGCAGTCCCAGGACTGAAGCCAGGTGAGCTCCCCCAGCACCCTGCTCGGCTCTGGTGGGGACACTGCTCCAGGCAGCCCTCACCAACTTACCCAGCTGGGAGGAAGAGCTTCTGTGCGGATCCAGAGCAGTTCCTGCTCACTGGAGGTCCTGGCCAGGACATTATTCCTGCTGCTTGTCCGGGGCAGGGGGAGCTTGGGGTCCATCCTACACTCTGCTCTGTCCGCAGGCCCTGCGTGCAGCAGGCTGGTCTGTCTCTCTGCTGGACCTGGCTGGCATGGATCACTTTGATGTCATTGAGAGGCTGTCAGAGGACAGCTACGTCCTCACTCAGGTGGGCAGGAGGGCTGTGCCAGGGCGGATCAGGTGGGCTGCCACCTCCCTGAGGAGAGGTGCAGGGTCAGGGGCTTTTCACAGGGTTTGGTTCCTCACCCCAGGTGATTCTGAACATGATTTCAAGAGCATGATGGCACCTCAGCAGTAGAGAGATGGGGACCATGGCCCTGTGTGGTGGCAGTGGGCACCTGGCATCCCCTGCCCTCTGCCCCTCGGTCTAACAGAGCCACGGCTGTCTCAGACCCACACTGTGCCCTCTCTGCTCAGCCCAGCCCAGGCTGGTGCCCCTTCCCTGCAGTGCCCCTGCCCACTGGGGCAGAGGGGACTGAGGCTCTGACTGGGCAGCTGGACCATGAACGTTGATCCCTCAGCGTCCTTTAAACGGCACATTGGCAATACAAATAAAATGGGAATTACTGCTGCCTGGGGTGGTGCTTCCCAGGGAGGCAGTGAGTGCGTACCCGAAGCAGCTGCTGCTGAGAGAATCCCTTCTTCCAGTGCAGAGCTCTGGGGCTGGCTGACCCAGAACGTGACAGGGGGGCCTGGGGAGCCCACCTGCTGCTGTGGGACAGAATCACACAGGCCTCTGTGAACGGGAGTGACACAGACATCTGGGCCAGGCTGGGCTCGCGCTCTGGGACAGTCCTGGCCAGATACAAACCTTGGCACTGCTGTGCAGCAACCCTGGTCCTGTGGCTGAGACGGTTCCGTGTCATCAGGAGCAACTGTCCCTCCGTGGGGACCTTGGCTGTGATGATGTCCCTGCTGCAGAGCAAGGAAAAGAGAGAAAACACCCGGCACAGCGACAGTACCACCAGAAGGTGTTTATTTTGTGCACTGACTGCCTCAGGGGCTGCAGTCTCCGCTGGGCTGTGCTCACACTGGTTTGTCAGGCTGCCCGTGAGGGCTGATGTCACGTTTCAGACGGCTGGGCACACATCTGGAGCACAAAGGGGCCGCTGCCACTCCTTGCTCTGGGCTGCCCAAGTGCCGCAGCTGCGGGGCTGGCACAATGCTCAGGCTGCCCCCGTGCCTGGAGGCGCTCGATGCAGTCCCGAGGCCAATTCCTCCTGGCACTTCCTGGCCACAAACGCCAGCTTTCTCCTGGCGAGCTCGGTGCCGCGGGCCGAGACGTCGCGGTGCCAGACGGCGCGCAGGGCCCGTGCCGACCACGGCAGCAGCAGGACGCTGACAGCCCGCCCGGCCTCGGCCTCCTCCTCCTCGCTGACGGCGCGCAGGCGCTCGCAGAGCTCGGCGGGGCACGGCCAGGCCCCCGGCACATCCAGCATCACGATGTTGGTCTCCACTGCTGCCAGGCTGACGGAGCACAGGGGAGAGTCCAGCGCCTGGACACCTGCGGGAGGCCCAGGTGTGCAAGCCCACCGCCCAGCCACCTGGAACGGGCTACCTGCCCTTCCCAGAGGTTCTGGGGGAAGGAGAGCCCTTTCTCCCGCATGTGGTACCAGGGTCACTGAGCACGGCACGGGGACGGTCATGCCATGACCCTGGCACTGCAGCCGGGTGAGGATGCCAGCAGCATCCTCACCCGGCTGGAGACCCAGTGTGGCCATGCAGGGATGGTGCCCAAGGCACCAGCAGCAGGGCGGTGCTGCTGGGCTGTGCCAGGTGTGCTGTTACAGCCCAGCACCCTCGGGGCCCTGAGGTACCTTCTGCAAAGCTCCGGGCGTGCTCGTGGTCCCTGCTCAGCGTCTCCTCGGCGTGCTGCAGCCCGAGGAGAGCGGCGGCCGCCAGCACCCCCGCCTGCCGCATGCCCCCGCCCAGCAGCTTCCTCACGCGCCAGGCCTCGGCCACAAACCGCCCGCTGCCCGCCAGCACCGCGCCCGCCGGGGCGCCCAGGCCCTGCAGAGCCGCCGCCGGGGTCACCCAGCTGCGCCCGGCAGCTGCCCCGGCTCCCAGCCTGCCAGGGCTGCTCTCAGCCCAACACCTGCAAACAGGGCAGGCTGCGGCTTGTGCTGGCCCCCGCCAGCCCTGCTATCCCTCCCCACACCAGCAGACCTTGGAGAAGCAGAGGGACACAGAGTCACAGTGCTGGGCAATCTGGGCTGGCTCCACGCCCTGGGCCACTGCTGCATTCATCAGCCGTGCGCCGTCCATGTGCACCCGCAGCCCGTAACGGTCTGCAAGCCCGCGGACCTGGTGGTCAGGGGGACAGCTGCTTTGGGAGGGACCCTGGGGCATGTAGTGCCACCACCACGAGCCATGTCTGAGCTCCAGTGTCCCCGCAGTGCCATCGTGCAGGGCCCAGCTGCCCACGCCGGGCAGGACTGTGCCAGCCCGTCTGTGGGCTCTCACCTGCCTGAGATAGGTGAGGGGCAGCGCCCGGCCGCCCGCCGAGCTGTGCGTGTTCTCCAGGCAGATGAGCTCAGGACGCGGGTGGTACCGGCTGCCGTGGGCCTCGCGGATGGTCAGCTCCAGCCGCTCCAGGTCGAAGGTGCCATTTGGCAGATCTGGCAGTGCCTGGGAGTGCACACCGGCGACCTGCGCCCAGGGCAGGGAGAGCGCGGAGCTGACAGGGGGCAGTGGCGGCGCAGGGCGGCTCCAGCCCTCTGTGCCCTTCATCGGGTGTGCCAGCCTCACTCGTGCTGCAGCCCGTGCCTCGGGACAGCGATCCAGGGGATGCCCTGGCAGCGGATCCTCCGCGGGGCCGGGCCCTGGCAGCCAGCGGAGGGCAGCACGCGGCCGCCCTCCTGCACTGCCACCAGCGCCACCAGAGCCACCAGCACCACCAGCGCCACCAGCGCCACCAGAGCCACCAGCGCCACCAGCGCCACCAGAGCCACCGCCACTGCCGCCGCGCTCACCTGCGCGGCCCCGCCGTGCTCGTAGACGTGCAGGTGGGCGTCCCGGCCCAGGAAGAGCTGAGCCCCCCTGCGCTGGCAGTGGCACATCACTGGGGGAGAAGGGCCGTGAGGGAGGGAGCAAGGGCAGCATCCCCAGCCTGGGGGCACGAGGGGCTGCGAGCGCAGCCCCGCACTCACCGGCGATGAGGTTGGCCATGGTGGCCGTGGGCACGAACAGAGCGGATTCGGTGCCCAGAGTGGCCGCGGCCCGGCGCTGCAGCTCTGCGGGGACACGGATGTCCTGGGAGGGCTCGGGGATCCCCGGTCCCGGCTGCCCCCGGGTCAGGCAGGGACCCCCGGGAGCCCGTTACCCACGTTCCCCCGCCCACCGTTCACCGCCGGGTCCTCCCCGTAGTCGTCGTCGCCCACGGCGGCGCGGGCCATGGCCCGGCGCATGGCCGCACACGGCCGGGTCACCGTGTCGCTCCGCAGGTCCACCACGACCGGCTGCCGACCCCCGGGCCCCCCCCCGGGCCCGGGCAGCCGCCCCCGCCGCAGCGCCGCCCGCATGGCCCGGACCGCCCCCCGCAAGGGCTCCCGGGCGGGGGCGGGATCGCCCTTCCTTCCTTCCTTCCTTCCTTCTCGGGAGCGCGGGGCGGGAACGGGGCAGGGCAGCGGCTCCTTCCCGGGAATACCGGGCGGGAGCGAACGGGGCAGTGGTTCCTGCGCGGGCACCGCCTCGGAGCGCCGGCCCCGCCAGCCCCATCCCTCCATCCCCACCTCACACCGGTGGGCGCTGCCCCGGCCCTGCGCTGCCCCCCGGCCCCTCCCCGTGCTGGGTGTCCGGGGGAGGGAGCCAGGGGGATCCTCTTTCCATGGCCGCGCAGGAATCGCTCCCGCCCCGCTGCCAGGAGGCTGCCCCGGGGTCTGGGCGCTGGGAGCTGCTCCGGCTCCAGCTGCCCTGGTCTGCCCTGGCCGCAGCCGATTGCCCTGGCGTGCCCAAAGCCCGGTGGCACCGCAGGTGCGCTGGCGCTGCAGCGGAGCTCTGGGGTCTCCGGGCAGCTTCACAGATCTCGGCACTCTGCCTGCCCTGAGGGGACCCGGGAACTGGGGGATTTCTTGGCAGGAATCCCCGCTGCCCCCCGGCAGGAGGGCTGTGTCCAAAGCAGTGGCGAGACCCCCTCGCCTCCCCTGCTGGGCTGGACCAGCCGGACCGCACTCCCTGCTCCCAGCACGGGGGGCACCGCTCTGCAGCGCCCAGCGCCTCTCCCGGCCTTTGCCGGGCACCAACAGGGCAGGTGCGCCCATTACGGCGCCTCTGCCCCTCAGCCCTGCCCGCCTGGGGATGCTGTGTGCTCCAGCCCGTGCCATGCCGCTGCCTTCTCCCTCCCTCTGCCACGTGCCCCCCAGCCTTGGCCGCCCCAGGTCCCCCATCCTGAGCCCCCGCAGCCGCCCCGCTGGTGCCCGCTCTGCCCATGGCCCTGCTGTGCCCCTGTGCATGAGCCCCTCCCTCGGCATCGCCCCCCGCGCTGTCAGCCCGCAGATGAGCGAGCCATAAACAGTCCTTCATGAGACGTTTCTCACACGCAGGGCCACATGTTAACAGTTTTTCTTTATTTACTGCCTCCATTTCCTCTTTGTTCCAGGAACTTGTCCTCCAACTTCAAGCTGCTCATGATTAGGCAAAAAGGCCTCTAATCTCCCCGATCTGATTTACCGTCACTGAGAGCAGACGCTTCCCGTTACTGGCCCTGGACCTGGGAGCACGGACAGCTGAGCTGTGCCGGCTGCTGAGCCCAGCTGAGCCTCCCCAAAGCAGCCCCGCCGCCCGCGCCGCCTTCCCGGCAGCTTCCCCTTCCAGTAAGCGCAGCCGGTCAGGTGAAGGGCTGGGGAGCAGCAGCGCGGGGCCCAGGACAGGGATCCCCCCGGGCAGGCAGCCTTGGAGCCGCTCTCTTTGCCTGGAAGGGACGGATGGCTGGAGCGCCCCTCCAGGCCTTCCCAGACGCTCACCCATCCACTCCATGGCACCTGATGGGCTGGTTGGCTGCCCTGGTGTGCCCACAGCTGGAGGGCAGCTCAGGGCTCTGTGTGCCACAGCTGGAGGGCAGCTCGGGGCTCTGTGTGCCCACAGCTGGAAGGCAGCTCGGGGCTCTGTGTGCCCACAGCTGGAGGGCAGCTCGGGGCTCTGTGTGCCACAGCTGGAAGGCAGCTCGGGGCTGTGCTGTGGGCAGCCCCCACAGCCCAGTCAGGGGCTCCTTCACTGGGCAGCAGCCACAGCTCCTGCAACCCTGCGCAGTGGGGCTGGCTGTGCTCCCCAGAGCCCCTTGTCCTTCAGCCCCGTGCCTTTCCCTGGAATTCGCTCTGGGACCTGACTGGGGGTCCCCCCTTGGTACCAGCACCCAGCAGAACCACAGCAGGGCCAGCACCAGGACCATGGAAGCACTTGTGGCCTTATGTGGAGCGGCTGAATGGACACCACGGGAGCTGGGCAGGGGGTGGGCAGTGCCAGATTCTGTCCAGGGGCTTGGCTGGCAGCTGGGCACTAGCAGGGGGCTCGCCCAGGACCACACTGCACTGCAGGACTGCAGTCACCACCTGCCCACGCCAGCCTCTGTGGTGGGCTAAGCCCCTGCCCCGCTGGGCTCAG